GGGGGGGGATCTGCATAAGCGACAGCGACGTTTGGTATGCTCTTCTTCTCTTTTCTTCTTCTCTGTTTTGCTTTGACATTTGGCATTTGGCATTTGGCATTTCGCATGATACCAGGCTCTCTCTGTCTTTATTACCACAATCGCACGCCCGATATACTATGTACTACACTGCACTATACCACTGACACTATCTCATTACGCATGTATACGAACATGGATGGATAGGTAATTGATAAGAGTAATAGTAGTTTAATGTAATAGTAGTTTAATGTAATAGTAGTTTAATGTAATGTAATGTATTTTAATGTAATTTGATTTAATGTAATTTGATTTGGTAGCTACCTCCATCTCATTCATGCATTCATGCATGTGTATGTATGCATGTGTATATACATGAATTTCGATTCGAGGGTTTTATATAGATGTATAGATATATATGAGTAATATAGATATATATGAATACTATGTATAATATAGAAAAGAGAGAGAAAGAGAGAGAGAGAAAGAGAAAGTGTCTAAAATATAATCAGCTTCTTGAACGTCTAGAAAAAGCGAGGAACATAAACCGTAACATCCGCTTCGCGACGCTTGTGAGCTAACCATGGCATGTTCTGATTTGCGTCTTTGGTTCATATTTAATCAAAAGCGTGACCGAGTAGCGAGATGAGGTACACGGTTGTCAGGACCAAAAACCAAAAGTGCCAACCTTTTTTATTCTACATAATAGTATATACACTGCAATCCCAGAGATACCCGTATCCCTCTCTACCTACTTCTACTTCCCGCGAATGCTCACGTCCAAGCTTCCAATCGCCCATGCGGCCAAGAACAGGCTTACACAGCTCGTAAAGATCACGAGTGGCTTTCTCAGGCCCGCAAGGAGAGGATAGTCGTAAGTGACAATCAGCTCGCGGTCGCGGACATCGTCGACGATGTTGAGGGCCGTCAGCGTCAGCGATGTGCGGCCGGTGGTATCCATGAAGGTCCGGTGGAGAGAGATGCCGGCGCTGACGAGAGGGACGGTGGTGCTGTACTGCACGTTCCTATGGCATAGTTAGTATAGGTTTTCAGAGCCAGAAAACACGGCATCGGGGAACGCACTCGGCTCCTTCGGGGAGAATGACACGGAGCTCCACATGCTTGTATTCAACTCCTTCGGGCTGCTTGGGTCCCTCCAAGAAAGGCACGTTCAACACGTAGCCATCGCCCGTCTTCAACTTTCGCAGGAATTTCTTGAGGTCCGCATCCCAGCCAACGCGGAATGGGTAGTTCCATCCTCCAAAGACAGGGTATCGCGGCTTGATCAACAAATTGGCTTCGCGCTTGTTGCTCCTAAATCGGGAGGTCGAGACGTTTCCAATAACATCGGTGAAGTAGGGTGTCAAGCTTCCCACCCTCAAGGGGAAGTTTAGATCCCGGAGAGCGGTAGTGGCTGGGTTGTAGTATGCCTGCGAGGCCCAGGCCACACGCGAGAACTGCTTGGTGAGGTTGGCGGCACGGTTGTGCATGGTGTACCGCTCTTCGAAAGCCACGTTTCCTCCCCAGTGGCTGACCTCGATGTCCCTTTCCAGGCGGGAAACGTGGATCAGTGGGTTGGTAAACTCATATCGGACGGATACTGGCTCGTGAGCTCCAGCGGGGACTCCAGAGTACGGGCCGTATGTGAGCTTTGAGCCCTGCCTTCGCGGTGACTCCGGGCTGTCCGAGGATGCTGGCATGATGGTATACTCACGCACGTTCAATCCTGGGAGCTTGACCTCAGTCTCCTGCTTCCGAGTTTCGTAGGGTGATTGGAAGTATGCCGAGAATTCGTAGACCAGGTATTGTTTGTCACTTTGCTCAATGGCGGCAGGAAGGGGAGAGAGGGCGGAGAGATAGGAGTAGGTGATGCCGAGAGTCTGTCTTGCATTCGGGGCGAGAGGCTCTGGGAGACGGATGCGATAGAATTGGATTTCACTGAGCCGTATGTTAGCAGACGCCTGCCCGAGATAGCTTCGTTCTTCATGCCTGCCAACCTTACCTCGCTGGGTCGAAGTCCACGGCTTGCACCTCGAGCAAGTCTCCATCTGGGTTCATCTGGTCCTTTACTTCCAACGCCGCCAGAGTCTCCATCTGCCGAGGTTTGAAAGGCAGGTAGTATTCATCCTTGGGCGAGCTGGCCACATTCTCGATCATAACATTGGTGGATTCCCTAGGGTAGCTCTTCTCCAGGTTGATAAGACGTACGAGATTGACATTTTCAAAGTCCTGCGGCGGGACAAAGCCTTTGGGCAGGATCAATCGCGAGGTGAGTGGTTGGGTGACATTTCCCTCAGCTAAGAGGGCTGTGGACGTGGACGCGAAGGACAGGACGGCGGATGCGATCGCCAAAGGCCACATTTTGAAGAGTCGAGACAAGCCAGCCGTTTCAGGGATCGATGGAAGAAAAGAGAGCGGGATTTGAATTGGAGAGTGGGTAGGTGGTGGTGGCAGTCCAGTCGGCGCTGGTAAGGTGAAATCAACAATCGTCTAGAATGAGCTCGAGCTCACGACTTCCAAGCCTCTCATTGATATCTGGATGTGTCCTCTCTGCGGTCATCCTCATCCTCAGCCACACTGACCTTAGCCACACTGTGGCTTTCGCTAACTGTGGCTAGGCTTTGGCTGGGAACAAAACCCGCATGACACCAAAAAAAACCGAGCAAACAAACACTCGGTCAGAAGAAGAAGAAGAAGAAGAGGAAGAAGAAAGATGTCGATGATAACTTTTTAGACTTTATCATCAATCATGTTATGCCTAGCTTAAAACGTATCCATGGGTCACGTCACGTGATATACATATCGACCAGATGACTAAGCCCCCACCATTCCAGCTCATTCCCCCCCACTCAGACCTCAGACCAGATCAACCCAACTCCGGACGGAAAGCTTCAATCGAACTCTCATCACTTCAATTATCTCTCTCCCCTCCTCTGGGTTTCTCTCTTCGTACTTTCTCGGATACCCCTACTCGAATCTTTCAGACGACACTGAGCTTCTGTTCTTCAATTCTCTCCATCCATCTACACATACCCCGCGATAGCTATAGCTATACCCCTCATAAAGCTCCAGCTCCAGCTCCAGCTTTTCACCACCGAGATTCAGATATCAAAATGGTAGGACTTGGGCCTCGGTAAGCGATCAAGTGATGATCCAATTGAGTGAAGCCCGGCTGACTGTATGTAGCAAACCTCCTTCTCGCAAAGGTATTGATTTGTTTACTGCTTTATCGGTTTAGTCTCGTCTTGCCTTGCTTTCATTGAATTCGTATCTCCCCATCACGTGGACCTTCCGGTGACTTCCTCCTATTCACCATCCGATGGATCATGCTCTTGTCGGTATTGGTGCTCTTCGCAGCCGCAGACGAGCAATCACCAGTTCACTCTTTCCTACCGTCGTTCACTGCGAGGCTGTCCGACCAGTATCTGCGACTACTTGTACGAGGATCCCTCCTCCTTGGAGCAAGCAACTCCAAGCAACTCCAAGCAACTCCAAGCAACTCCAAACCCAATACTTACAACTTCGATCTCAACTTCGACATACCACTACACAACAGATAGGCTGGCCAGTTCCCAAAATGTTGCACCCCTTACAACGAGAATCCCAAGCCGCTGAAGGTCAAATCCCCACTCTCCATTCCATGCTCTCGGGTTTGAGATCTTTGAGATCGAAAAACAGGGTACCATCAATCTCATCTCACACTCACCTCTAAGGTTGGGGAGATAGCATGATCCCTGCGTCATCTCTGTGCCTCCATAAGCATTCCACACACCTTGGTCATCAGATGAAGAAAAGCAACCTATCAAATTCAACGCCCTCACGTGCCAGTGGCATAGAGTGTGCTACCATCGTGGCTGGCTACCTCAAGTTTGGTTCTGCGGACGTCCTGCCTATATCATCATGGGCTTTTGCTGACGAGTTTTATAGGATCCATGGCCGATGTGCCAAAGGATCTTTTGCAGGAGATTAAGAGACTGGAAGATCTGTTCACCGTTCCAAAGGCCAAGCTGAAAGAGATCACCGATCACTTCGTTAATGAGCTCACCAAAGGTTTGTAACCCAGCCTTTTCATCACGAGTAACGCTAATACATACAAGGTCTTACCGTTGAGGGTGGAAGCATCGTAAGCAGCATACACCTATGACTGACAAGAATTATGACTAATCAACCCAGCCCATGAACCCAACATGGTGTATGGCATTCCCAGATGGACACGAGAAGGGCACCTTCCTTGCTCTAGATATGGGCGGAACCAACCTTCGTGTTTGCGAGATCATCTTGACCGACGAGCAAGGTGAATTTGACATCATCCAGAGCAAGTACCGCATGCCCGAGGAGCTCAAAACTGGGCACGCTGAAGAACTGTGGGAGTACATTGCGGATTGCCTTCAACAATTTATTGAGCACCACCATGGAAATGAGAAAGTGGGTAGCCTTCCTCTCGGGTTTACCTTCTCTTACCCCGCCACCCAAGACTACGTAGACCATGGAGTTTTGCAACGTTGGACCAAGGGCTTCGACATCGACGGAGTTGAAGGAGAAAACGTCGTGCCCATGTTCGAGGCGGCCATTGCTAAGCGAGTAAGCACCCCAAGCACCTGTGAGATAAATTCCCTAACGTAATCCAGGGCGTGCCTATCAGACTCACAGCTCTGATCAACGACACCACCGGAACCCTGATTGCCTCGGCATACACCGACACCAAGATGAAGATCGGTTGCATCTTCGGCACCGGCTGCAACGCGGCTTACATGGAAAATTGCGGCTCCATCCCCAAGCTCGCCCACATGAACCTGCCTCCCGACACGCCAATGGCCATCAACTGCGAATGGGGTGCCTTCGATAACGAGCACAAAGTCCTCCCCCGTACCCCCTACGACGTAATCGTCGACAAGGAGTCCCCCCGTCCCGGACAACAAGCCTTCGAGAAGATGATTGCCGGCTTGTACCTCGGCGAGCTCTTCCGTCTTGCTCTGGTCGACCTCCACGACAACAAGGAAGTCCACATCTTCGAAGGTCAGAACATCGATAAGCTCCGCAAAGCTTACACCTTGGACTCCTCCTTCCTCTCCGCCATCGAAGAAGATCCTTTCGAGAACCTGCAAGAGACAGGCGACCTCTTTGCAAACAGACTCAGCATCACCGCCACGCGCCCAGAGCTGGAGCTCGTCCGCCGCCTCGCAGAACTCATCGGTACCCGTGCCGCCCGCTTGTCCGCCTGCGGTGTCGCGGCCATCTCCAAGAAGAAAGGCTACGACAGCTGCCACGTTGGCGCTGACGGGTCCGTCTTCAACAAGTACCCGCACTTCAAGCAACGTGGCGCCGCTGCCTTGCGCGAGATTCTGGACTGGGCCCCGAAGAAGAGCAGCAAGGATGAAGACCCAATTGAGATCCTGGCTGCGGAGGACGGGAGCGGAGTTGGTGCTGCATTGATTGCGGCGTTGACGCTGAAGCGCGTGAAGGAGGGGAACATGGCAGGGATTTTGCACCCGGAGAACTTCAAGTAGACCTTTCCTTTCGTCTCCTCTGCGGAGCAAGGAGGAGTGGTTTACTTGTGTGGGGAGGAATGCAAATAGGGAAGTTTACGATGGGCGATGCAGAGCAGATAGAGGCAGGGAAGGGGAAAGGGAAAGGGAAAGGGAAAGGAACCGCGGGTAGCTTCTTCGTTCATGCGCGCGCTCGCTCGCTCGCTCCCCCTCCTTGGCATCTCTTGCAGATAGATGCACAAACGATCTTGCCTGGTAGGTGACACCAGCTAGTCTAGCTCTCTATCCTATCCAGATTCATGGATTCGCTTGCGCCCCCTCATCGCAACCTGACACTTTAAGTGCGGTACACTCTGCGTCGACATGCCACTGGCATATGCCTCAATAATCTATGCAGCTTTTCAGTAACGCCGAAGCCAAACTCGGGTATCTCGCTCCAGCCTTCCCTTCATTCTCTCCCCCTTCCACCAGCCATCACATCCCACGCTACCCCAGAAATCGACAGACGGGTAAGCGGTACTTGTCCAATACCCAATACCTCCTCCTCACCCCCTTCCATTCCCCCTCCCCCTCCTCGCCCAGCCCCTGCACCTCTACATCCTCCCACTCAACATCGCAACCGGCGTCTAACAGATGCATCTCCACCACCCTGCAGTAAACATCATAGCACACCCTGCGATCGGCACCGAGCCCATTGAACCACCCAAACCTGCCTTCCGCATCCAGCAGGCCCGGCAGAAACTCCGTGAAGAAGAGCTTGAGCTGGGAGTAATCCTCGCCGAAGGTGTCGAAGTAGATGGCATCGTAGACTTGGCCTTGTTGCAGCAGGAGAGGGCAGATGTCCTGCCATTTCCCCGCGTGGATTTTGTAGCTGCCGCCGTCACCGCTGGCGGGCGCAGATTTTTCCCACGCGGGGCCGAAATCAGAGGTGGTGTCGGAGGAGAGACGGGCGAGCACGGTGGGGTGTGCCTCGATTATGTGGTGGGTGAGGGGCAGCGTGGCGCGGAAGAGGCGATCGATGATGCCCATCCCGAAACCGATGTTGAGGATGCGAGCGCCGCCTGGTTTGGGGGCGGGGAGGAGGAGCTCGACGGTGCGGCGCATGATGGACGTTTCCCAAGTCATCATTACGCCGTTGTTGTCGGCGTCGAGGAGAGCGTCTTGGGTGAAGGTCAGGGCAGAGGAGAGGTACGTGGCGGAGTTAACGTCTTGCTTCTTCTCTCCGTTTCCCTTTCCCGCTTCTGCTTCTGCTTCTGTTTCTGTTTTTGTTCCTCCATTTTCCCGCGATGTTTTGGAGGGAGGATCCCGTCTGGGTTCAGCGGCAGATTCATCTCCCTTGTTCGCAGCGGTACTATTGCCTTTCGCACCCTCTGCACCAGGATCTCGCGCTGGCACTTGCGTCTCCCCATCCGCATCCACATCCCCATCGACATCGACATCGACATCCAACCCCTCACCAGCCTCCCCCTCCTCCTCATCACTCCCCTCCCCCTCCAAAACCTCGTACCCACCCCCCTCCATCAATCCCAACAGCAACTCCGCCCGCACCCCAGCATTCACACACATCTCATACAGCTCCATCCTCCCCAGCCTCCACGCCAGACACGCCGGCGTCTCGCCATTCGCATCGAGATCATTCCATATCGCGCCGCTGAAGAACAGCTCTTCGACCACTTTCTTCGCCCTCTCCATATCGACATCGACTTCCTCTCCCCCTTCTCCTTCCTCCCCACTCCGTCCTTCTCTCCCAGCGCTCTCGATGATTGACGCAGCGGCCGGCCCGCACGCCGAAATCGCAGCGTGCAGCGGGGTGAACCCCGTCTCGGGATCTTGCACACTTGCGTTTCCGGGCACGCGCAGGAGGGGTTTCAGAGCGGCGAGGTCGTGGTTGGAGGACGCCAGAAGGATGGATTGCGTGGTGAGATCCGTATCGGTGGTGGCGAAGGCTGGGTCGTCCATTGTATTTGCTGCTTCTTTTTTTGTTCTTATCGTCGTTGTTATTGTTGTCTTTTCCCGTGATGTGTATAGGTGTTGGAGAGCAGGGTGTCTGTTTTTTTTTTAAACATATTTTTGTTTGGAGGGGTTCGCGGGGTTCGCTTGATTAAGGCGGTGAGAAGGGGCAGAATTTTAATAGGACTGTTTATTTATTGGGGGTCAAGGTGGGGGAATGGGGCGGGGGAGGGGGAGGGCGCCATATCGCATATATATTCAGGATATCTAAATATATATAGCTCGTAACTATCTATCTTGCCGGGGAGATGTGTATGGGTACTATGGAAAATTTTATTTCATCCAAGCTTCTAACTTATTATCCATCTGGCGCAAATCCAAAATTATATAAACCTCAAGTCTTTTTAAAAAAGCGAGAAAGATAGCGGATACTGCTCAAAATCCGAGCTGATATGAATAGGATTCTCCCTTAGGCGCCCGGAGACGAGACTGGCAATTTCGTGGATAGAAATTTATCGATATGGTTTTATGATAATATAGCAATATTTGTGTGTTAGTGCCGCAATGCCGTTATCCGTATCAGTTATAGGTGTGTTGTTCACTTCGATCAATAAGACGGTACAGATTATCGTACTCTCATTCAGGTATTAAACTACCGGGGAGGAATCTACCGCTTGCGGTGTTCATCACGTCAATTACGAGTTATCGTTGGCGCATTGGCCTCCGTTGCAGCACCTTCCCCCTCTCCGGTACCGTTGAGAATGCCGATCAGACGCTCGGCGACCAGTTCGCCGATCCGCTCGTACCCCTCGGCGGTAAAGTGCAAGCCATCATCCCAGATCTTCTTCCTCTCATCCTCATCCAGAGCGTGGTATGGAATCTTGGCATGCAGATCAAGCGAGTATCTGGATAGCCTCTTGTCAGCGATACCATCTATGAAAATTTGTGATTCGGACAGGGGAAGTAACACTCACACGCCCTCCCTCATATCCCTCTTCAGCAGCTCGTTCAACTCCCCTCTGTTGCGATCCAATGTCTCGCTTTTGGCACTGCATTCGGGGACGGTCAGCAGGAGGACCCTGGCTCCGGTCGACAGCGGGAGATCGGTGGTAGCTTTGATCTCGTCGTAGATCCTATCAGGAGGAACGCTAAAGGCGAGATCATTCGTACCACCGAGAAAGACGACCCAGTCGTAGGGGCCTTCTCTGGTGGTGTTTGCGGTGTCTTAGAGCAGTGTGTATGTGAGCCATGGAAGACACGCGATCAAAAAATGCATACCAGTGAAAGGAAAACTCGAGGGAAAACAAATAACATGCACGTAAAAAGAAGCGCGGAAATAGGATAAGCCCAGTCGAGAGTTACTCCGAAAAGGGGAGAGAGGTTGGCAGCGAATCCAGGTCGTAACGAACATAAATTCCCCATCCGCTCCCTGAACCCGTTCACGACGAGCTGCCCACTAACACCATTCGTATCGACATCGAATCCCATCTGGGCCTTCTCCCCTAGATTTTCTTCCAGAATCCTCTTCATGGTAACGGAGTACGGCGCCCGGTGCATCCCGTGCATCCAGTACCCGTCTGTCAGGCTGTCCCCGAAACAGAGGATGCGGATCGGTGTCGGCGTGTTCTTCATCTTGAAAACTGCGAGACTGGAATAGGGGTGTAAGATAAGGAAGTTAGGGGGGAGGGGGAAATGCAAAGAGCGGTTGATGCTTGGAGGAAGGTTACCCAGAGCTCGCTTAGGACCCGTCACAGCCACGTGATTTGTGCCACCAAAGCTTCACAGCCGAGATTTTGTTTACGTTAAACGAAGCGTCCGAAACCTATTTGGGATATTTGTTCTTTTGCATACAACGGGAGCAAGTATTAGGCTGTACATATATATATATATTTCTTCAAAGTTACATCACGGTTACCATGAAAGCTTACCGGGCCATTATCTGATCTAGGAACCTCCCACGGCCCAGAAACCTCCCAATCCTCCCATCAACCGTAGCTGCTGCATTGAAATCTCCACTACTTGAGGAGTTCGTCGGGGTATCATCAACGACATTAAACCCAGCCAGCACCCCTTTCCTGTTAATCCTCTCTACGTCTTCCTGCACCGTGCCGTTCACCACACCCACCATCCGATACCAGAGTTCCGTATCACGCTCCATGCCCATAACACCCTGCGCACTCCGCCCACCCATCCTCGCCTCGCCCTTGAGCGTCCCGAAAGTCCCACTCGCGCTCGCAACGCCGCCACTCCCTCTTGTCAGCAGCAGAGTCGCGTTCCCGGCCTGTGACTCCACCATCGTTTTTCCCTTGAGTGTTCTGACAAGGTCGGCGCTGTTGGCCAGTTCGGCGAACGGTTGCAGGCCAGTTGGTGCGACGCCCTGGCCGTCAACTTCAACGGCACGGCCACGGATAATCTGCGTGTCGAAGCGGCTTGCGCCGTCTGCGAGGGCGGTGCCGGTGGAGTTCACGCTGAGTGGGTATTGATACGTATTTCTGTAGGGCGTTTCGAACCCCCTCATGAAGACATCTCTGCCTGTCGTCATCAAAGAGTTTGACTGGTTGTTTCCTTGGGAGGAGAAGGAGTTGTTGGTGTTGTGGCTGAGGATCTGCGTCCACACCATATTTCGACCGTTGGGATACTCTGCGGTCTTGACGTTCGAAGTAACGGTAAGCGTGCGGTGCACGGAGGTGCTATAGACGAGGGTGTCGTTTCCACCGTTCGAGTCCTGTGTTACGGCTTGGGAGACGGATATCTCAGGTGATGAGCCTTCGATTGTGGGTTTGGGGCCGGACGTGATGGATGACTCGTCCGAGTCCGTCCAGATGAATATCTTGCCAGAGACGATCCAGTTACTGCCCACGCCTTCGCTGAGTACGGCCGTTTTTCCAGCGTCGTCCGCAAGGCCGACAACTCGCATGTCAAATGTGTGGGCTTCGCCGTTACAGAGCATCCCTAGCCAGGGAGAAACGTCTATCTCTCCTTCGGCCAGATCAAATGCCTGGGTACCGACCATGGGGCTCCAAAAGGCAGGCACAAGTCCCCCGGTGAAGATGACTGGGTACGGCCAGACGACTCCCGCCATCTGACCATCGATCATCAGTTGGACTTCTCGAAACGAGCTGTTGCCGAACAGGGTGCCACCGGATGAGTTGTATGTGGTTACCGCGGAAGACAGACTATTCTGCCACCAGAACTCCTCGTCACCCTGTCCCGTCGCAGCGACGGTGACGATGGCTTTATTGACGTTTCGCGGAATCGATCCAGCGGGAACAGTTGATGACCCAGGTCCAGATGAGAGAGTGAACGCGCTTGGTTGAGAATCGTACCCCCGCTCAGCCGAGATTGGAATAATAATATCCGCCGGATCAATAGCTTGTTTCGCCGTGAAGAAAGTCGCAGTCAAGGTTGTGATGTACGTCCCAGTGAGAGTGTCAGTCGTCTGATTCGGCAGATCAAAAATAACTTTTTGGGACGTCTTCCACATCGCCATCATGTGCGACATGTCCTTCAGATACGTCCACGAGATCCCCGATTGCTTCGGCTCCGCCGTCGACGTCCGGAATGCTTCCGTGTCTCCGAAATACATGACTGCCAGACGGTCGAACTGTGTACCGAAGCTGTGTACCGTCATGTTCATCATGACTGTGTTGCTTCCTTCCATGCAGGCTGGTGGCGTGTAATCGCCAACGAAAGGTTTCCCGAAGGAGTCTTTGAACTCGTACTGCATCAAAGTAACTTGACACGTGGTTTGGTTGCGGCCAGCTGCTGTTTGTTCTCCTGCTGTTGCGTTTCCAACGCCGTCGTCTAGAAAGACTCGTCCATTGCCCAGGATTGGCGGATCCAGCTGGAAGACTTGTTGCTTAGGTACGGGCGTCGGGAGAGTACCCGCCGTTCTTGTTAGTGAGTGAAGAGGTTTCGATACGAGGCCCAAAGATGGCAAGGAATCCGAAGGCGGTGCCGCAAGCGCATCCACAGATGGCGGAGGCAGTGTGGAAAAAGAGACGCTGAGGCAGGGTACATCCTGTCGAGGCACGATCTCGAAGACTTGGTGCGCGTAAGGGTCCAAGATTGAAGCTCCAACCGACTGCACGTCTGTTGAACCTTTACCAGAGAAGAAGAACAGGACCCATCCGATCAGCGCCAGACAAGATCCTACCACTGACATTCCCTTTAGAGCCGTCATGTCCTCCTCCCTCTTTTCAACCTCTTCCCTCCTATTATCCTCCCATCTGTCGCTCAATTTCCGAAGATTTTGATCCATGTAGCACGCTTCGGCTTTCTCCTCGTCTCCGACACATCCTATCCTCTTGTCCTCGTTCATAATTTTCAATCCTGCCGCAATAAGATTCGATCAAGTTTTTTTCAAAAGTAAGCGTGACGGCCCGAACTTCTCCAAAGCCTCCAGACAGATAAAAATCATCAACGGGGACAGTGGAGCTACATATCTACGATCACGAATTAGAAATGGTCTCATGATTTTCCTGTTCCATGCGTCGGTGCCGGTCCGTGAGACAAGCGTAGTCACACCCTCGTCGCATATCTCCCGTCCATATTTCCGGGCTACGTCCATCTCGAACGTTTCCGTCTCGAACGTTTCATCCGCGCACGTTTTTTTTTTTTGTTTGTCTGGAAGCCGGCGCGAGCCCAAATCATACCAGTAGATTTATAGATCGGTAAAAGAAACCTACAGGGTACCTGTCAGTATTGGCACGATACAGTATCGAGCTGGAGAAGCGAGACAAGCGTCGGAAGTACCAAGAACAGACCGACCCTTGGTCTAAACACCACCTCCCGTGCACCTGGGTAACCCACTTTCTAGATTTTGAAGTTCGATGCGGAGTAAGTTGAACAAATGCGATACAATTTCAGCCCTACCTCATACCACGCAAACACGCTCGTTAAAACGGGGGGGTTGTAGGTTGTGATTCGCTTGGGCGTGATAGACAAACGCTAAGCGAGCTCCCTAGAATGAGTGAGGAAAGAGCCGAGAACAACGACGATATTATATACAATTGAAATTACGCCGTTCAACGGTGGCCTCCATACTTACTGGAAGATATATCGGGACAAGGCTGGCTCGCTAGCTGTCTATTATTGATGAAATTTGTTATAAAAGCAGATCATACAGAGCATGAAATCAGTTACAAAAAAAAAGCCCCGAAAAGGTTTTGTACAGCCAATTTAGCTCAGCCTATCGTTCAATTATGCTACATATCAACAGCTTATACAGCTGTCTTTCCTTCCCCTTAATCACCCACTTCTTTATTTTTTGTAGCTCCTGCTCCTGCTTCATCCGCAGCCTCAACCAAGCCCCAGCCACAAGTAAGCAATGCCAAAGCCTGTACTAAAAATCGAAGAAGTCGCAGAACACCGCGGATTAGCCGTTATAATCTCGTCCCATTGTCCCATATCGATCTTCTGCATGCCTTCATACACGGACGCAGTTATGTAGCTCACCACCACAAGAATGGCAAGAATTTATCCAGCAGTCCCCTCTCCCCAGCTTCCCACCACACATTCAGGACCACAGCCACAAACAGCACCGCACAGATGACAGTCGGTCCGAAACTATCATGATACTTGATGGCGCGTCTTTTGCGGATGGCCTGGCTTCGGTAGAGGTAGATGCCGACGGAGTAGAGCAGGGAGAGAATGGCGACGGCTGTGAAGGCAAAGGCGGCGAGGAAGGAGCCGCGGGTGGGCTTGTCGCCGAAGTTGAGGACAGTGACGGCGATAGTACTGATATAGATGGAGTTTTCGAGCTAAAGTTATTAGTTACGAAACATTATATGTGTGGCGTGGAAATTACCCAAGACAAAAACGTTCGCTCGGCAGCAAAGTAGACTTTGGGCTCTACTCTGACTAGAACGTGGATCTTCTTCCCTTTGGGAGCCTTGAACTTCTTGCTTGTGATCTGACCGGCTCCCAAAGCTGGCAGACTCCCATTTTGGCTCCTAGGGATTGAATTAGGCCTGCGCAGCGACTCGATGGCATTAATCAATTTGTAAGCGCCCAGCTTCGTATTCGTCTTTACGAGTTGGGAGTAATACGTCCATCCTCCTATCCGTCTTGCCTCCTCAAGTCTGTCTAGCTCATTGTCCTCGTCGTCAGAATCGTAAGGATATTCTTCATCTAGGTCAATGGGCTGTTCGCCCACTAGCTCTTCAATGTCGAGTGTGTTTCTAGTCGCACGGTGATCCGCATCCCGGTTCCGACTTCGATTGGCGTTCTCATCCGAGCTTTCAACAGCGGTAGCCGTCGGCGAATCTTCGTCAAAATCATCTTCATCGGAATCATCATCCTCGTCGTCGTCATCACTAGTTGTACTTGGATTGGACAATCCAGGTCTCCGAATGCCAAAGTGTTGTGTGACGGGCTTCCGGATATCGACATCCATTTGGGGCATCCAGAATGGCAGAAGCTTAATCCGAGTCGGAAAGAGGGTTGCAGTGCCATGAATGAATTTGGAGAATTTGGGAACAGCCTCGACGAGATGACTTGCGATCAGTTCGCGCACCCATTCGGGTGGTTCTTGACCAGCCTGGGTCTGCAACTTGACTTCCAGGACTGCGTATGGGAATCGCTCTATGTCCTCGGCAGGTAGCTGGGAAAACGGATAGTCGATTCCGATATCCATTCGTCGCCAATTGTCTCCGGCTCTTTTCTTTCCGTCCAGGTTATCCTCTCGGATCATGGTGAGTTCGGTATCCAGGGAGATTCTGACTCGAGCATCGGCTGGCAATTGGAAAGCGGTTCGGTTGTAGAACGATCGGCAGACAGGCACGTATCCTTTCTTGATAATGGAATACTGAATCTCTTTGGCAAGTCTCTCGTCTTCGTCGATTTGCTTGGCCGGCTTCTTGCCATCCTTGCGCGCCTTTTCAAAGATGGCTGCTGGGAGCAGCTCTCCCTTCAGGTATGCATTCATGTTCTTTTCCTTCAAGGAAAATCTAGCCTTGACAGACTTTTCTCCAGTCCAGTCTTCGCGATGGGTCTTTCGCTCAACGAAGATTGTCTCGGTATCCATTCCACCATACCATCTCATTCGAATAGCTTCTGCGCCTTCCGTCTTCTTCAATCGACCCTCGTACAGATCCCACTTCTCTGTGTTATCGTAGTAGATTGAAGTAATGGCGGAATCTTTCATGTCAAACTCCTTGTTGGCATTGAAGACCAGGACTGGAAGATGCTAGAGAGAGTTGGCAGAGGTCTTGGAGGATTGGTGAGGGGCCTGTCTACCTTCAAAATGATGAGCTTTACCTCCATAATGTTGTCTTGATGCACCCAGTACTTGGTGGTCTGTCGGATAAAACTGCCCTGGTTTCCTCCAGCAGCACTATCTCCCTTGACTGGATTTCCTCTGGTTCGAACTATGTCATACAGCTTGGAGAGCTTCACAATATCTGCATCGTAGTTGTCTTTGAAGAAGGGTTTGGCCTTTAATCGGGTCGCGAATACGGGCTTGAGCATCCATCCAGTAGTTTTCTGTAGACGTCAGTCCCAGCTCTTTCATCCCAGCTTGCGACATACATCATGCTTCTTGATGATCTTCTGGAAACCGGTGTAGTTGAGCTGCACAAACTTGGCTAAGTCGTGGACGTCAGCGATGATGTCGCTGAGGTCCTCCTCCAACAGCATGAATTCCTCCTCGGTGGGCGCATCTTCGTCTCTGTTGCCGCTCCCTTCTCTGCCGACCGGGCCTCTGTTATCTAGCCGCGACACGACCTCGTTGACCTCCTTCTCGCTGGTCGCGATGCGCCGGCCAATCTCGGTGGCCTTGACCGTCTGCTTCATGTGGACCTTGTCGAGCTCCTTCTCCAGCTGGCTGAGAAAGCGGCTCTCGTCGTCCTCGGTCCAGGCGCGCCTCGTGCCCTTGGGCTCCGCCTTGGTCGGGGGCGTCTGCCATTCCGTCCTCAGCTGAGCCTTGAGATGGTCGTAGGCGATGTAGTTCCACTGATACTCCTTGATCACACTGCTGCGCAGCTGCTCGCCGAACTTCATGACGATGAGGCCAGGGCCGAATCTGTATCGTCTGCGGGGTCGGCCGGGTCTGCAGGGTCTATTTGATTTCCAATAGCGGTTCTTGCACTTGAGATCCTCGACAATTAGCATCGGGTCATCATTATCGGCGGAGGGGAGGATAGAGTGACGAGAAGAAAGGCTGAAGAGGCCGGCATCGGTTGGTTCGGATTGTTTTGAATTGAATTGAATTGAATTGGATTGGAGATGGGGAATGCTTCAAGTGGTATTTGAGGGGTTGGGGGGGGGCCCTTATCTTGGGGATGAAGATGAAGATCCATGGAAGGGAAAGGGAAAGGAGGGAAGTAAATTTTACCTTGTATTGGAGGGAATTGGGTCTGGGAAAGAGTAGCTCGTCGTTTCGTGTAACCTCGAAGGGCCGACAGCGAGGTGTAGTCAACTCGTCAAGCAGCTGCAGATTTCAAGCCGGGAAGCAGCCGGGCACCCCGACGTAATATGCACATTATATACGAGTACATAATATCGATCATATATAGACAAAGGACATCCCAGGACTCAACGCAATTTACTATAATACTGATCGACTTAATTCAAATATCATAATACTTTTCCCTTTTCCCTTTACATTTTCCAGTTCATCTCAGTCCATCTCGATACCTACCCAATCTACCCCGTGCTCCATAAAGTATACCTAGCGGGGTTTCCATTGACCTCGCTTGCTATCATTCACATATCAAGATATAAATCATGATTTCGCAGTCTTGGTGGAGATCTCATTCCCATGCCCATACACTGCCCTAGGGCAAATCTGCCATGTCCCACGAATCGCGTACTGGGAAGCGATATCAATATCAGGCTGGCATGCACCTGAAGTCAGGATTCGCAGATTTGGATTATCCATATTCGTCGTTAGTCGGAGCATCTATCAATCATTATCAATCCTACTGTTCCCCCTATGTCGTGACATTCCAAAAAGTCAACAAACAACCTATAGCGCCATCCTGTTCTCGCCGTCCATCAAACGATTATGCAACACCAGTCACCCTTCGGATGGCCTTCCTCGCCCCTTCCCCAGTAACCATAATACTTCCTTCCTGTTCCAGCGCACGAATAGTTTCTGCGAATTCAGCAGTATCGATTTGCACACTGCTTTGATCGCCCATCTGCTTTACAACCTCGCTGTATCGTGCAGGCTGGCCTTGTCTGGTCATGTCATCCAATAGTGCCAAGACCGCCGTCTTCAGATCCGCCTTTCTTCTTCGCTCACTCGCGCTGGTGCCCTCTGAGAGCAAGCTCATGTCGATGAGACCAGTGCGTGCGTCCGTAGCAGATTGCTTCAGGGCACTCTTGATCAAGCGAACAGCTTCCTTGACATCATCGCGAGTGACAATCTCAGCAAGTCTCATCTTTGCATGGGCCTCGGCGAGACGGATCATCGACTCGAGTTGACGGGTGGTCGCCGTGATACGGCGTTCTGCGGCACGGACATCCTCGCCGAGTTTGCGCATTTCGACGTAAGCATTGACGAGCTCCTCGGAGGCCTCGGCGCTGATGCGTGGTTGACACTTCGTACGAGCATAAGAGATATAAGAAGTGAGGAACTCGATAGGCTGTACCTGCTTAGTTGTGCTTATTGCAAGAAGTAGGTGAGCGACCTACCAAAATCTCCATTCCACTGGCAGCACTCTGCGGCTTATCGTCCAAGTACATACCGAGCAAATGTCTCGCCAATCGACGATCGGCAGTCTCATCTATACGATCCAAAATTAAGAAGACAAGATCAAAACGTGAAAGCAAGGTTGGCGGTAAATCTATGTTCTGGGGAACTGGCAGGTTTGGGTTGTATTTGCTGCCAATTGGATTTGCGGAGGCGAGAATACTGGTTCTAGCATTCAGAGTGGTGATGATACCAGCCTTGGCGATCGAGACGGTCTGCTGCTCCATGACTTCGTGAAGAACCGATCTTGTAGCATCGGACATCTTATCGAACTCATCGATACAGCAGACACCTCCATCCGAAAGGACCAAAGCACCTGATTCGAGAACCAATTGGCGAGTTTCGGGGTCTCGGGTAACGTATGCCGTCAAACCGACCGCTGAGGAACCCTTTCCACTCGTGTAGACACCTCGTGGAGCGATCTTGTGAACGTACTGCAAGATTTGGGACTTGGCGGTAGATGGATCACCACAGAGAAGGATGTTAATGTCTCCTCTGTATTTTGGGCTTCCGCCCTTCTCGAAGGACTTATTGGTACCGCCGAATAGTTGCAAGAGAATGCCCTTCTTGACGTCGTCCATCTCGTAAATACTGGGAGCAAGTGATCGGGACAAGATATCGTAGATATCAGGTCTCGCGGCAGTGGCCCTTATCTTCTCTTCCTCCTCTTCACTGACCCTTCGAGTCTGCTCGATGTCGCCTGCAACCTGCTCCGAAATTTCTTCATCAAGAGTAGAAACATCGATACCCATCCGCTTCTTGTCGACCTTTTGGATATGAAGAACATCAATGTAGGTCTTGAAGGTGCTCTTGAGCGTTCGCTGTGTAGGATTTACCCGAACTGGACTGGCCCTGAAAATGCCCGTGATCTCGACGCGATCACCGGCCTTGCACAGATCCACCAACTCGTCATATGCGCACATGGAAACAGAGTGGGGGGTCTGGCCTGCGGGGACCGAATCCGGAGTCTCTTGTAGCTTGATGACTTGCTTATCCATAAACCCAGAACGATTATGTACGATCTGCATCGAATTTTGAGACTGGCAGATTGGACGAGGGCACTTTGTGGGCTCAGCGATCTTGCCACGGTCAATTTCGACCTGGATTGTATGGTTGCAGACGTGGCATCGGAAAAATGCGTCCTTCATATCGGGGATAATAGGGGTGGTTCGGATCACAAGTCCCTTGATTGCAATTATCTTATCGACATCAGATGGGTTGAGCTCTCTCATGTTAGTAGTCCCATCAAGGCCAAATGGTCGGATTTTGTATGTCCGCTCGAATACCTCCTGGCACAGATCAATCTCGTTCGATTCTTGGTCCGCTCTTGGTGTCTGAGGTTCTGGCTCATCACGATCAGAGCTCGGAACTGGGGGTTCGGAGCTGATGATTCTGCTTCGCTGGGAAGCTTGTGCTTGATTACCTTGCGACTGTCTGTTCTTGGCCATCTCTGCTTCCGCAATCTCGAACATAACGTCCTTGGTAGCTTGATCCATGAGTGTGATGATCTCTTGCGGGTAGAACTGGGCTTGTTGCCACAGCTTCTTGGTAGGAGGGTAGGCTTTGAGATTGCGGAAGTCAAGATTGAGACTGGTTACGCCAAGGGTCAGCATGTTCTGCATCATCTGGACGTATTCTTTGGTATTAGCATCAGGGTCTTCGTTGGTCTCTTCCTCCGACAGCCCATCACCCCACATGCGGTACTTCTTCGTAAAATTCCGGAGGAAATCCTTGAACACCGCAACGGTGTCGTTGACCGAGACAGTAGTTCCCCAGATGGACATCGTAGAGTTGCCACCCATTTCCTGTGCATCAGAGGTTGTTGGGTCCACGTTGGAGAAAGTCGGCGCCTCGGATCCCTCTGCAGGAATATCCCTAACGACTCTGCCACTTTCATTCATGAAAATACGACGTCTGGCCCTAGTGGTATTAACATTGTCTGAACCGATGTCTCCGCGACGAGAGATGTTAAGAGAGGATCCAGGAGCAGCCGAGCGATTGCGGACGAAGAGACCACTGCTATCGCTGCGAATCTCTGAGAGATCGGATTGTTGACGGGCGTTGAATCCTGCCGCGCTGGGGCTCGAACTCGGCGCATATCGAATTGGCGAGGAATCTGGGGCGAAGATCAGTCTCAACATCACCAAAAGAGCTGGGATTGTTGTCTTTACCTCCGATCAGGCCACTCGTGGTAGCTCTAGGCGTGCGGTCGCCGTCTTCCTGGGTCGTCTGAGTGTTGGTCATCTGCCTCAGGGGCGACGATACTTCGCGCTCTCTGTTCATTCTTGCAATATCGGCGGGGGACGAACGATAGTTCATAGGTGAGGACGAAGGAGGAGCAGCTCTCCGGGAAGCAGTGCCATTTTCATTTGCCTGCGAGGAAGCTGCCTCCATTTGCAGTTGAGCGGCAGAAGGATCAGGGGGACTGCTGGGCAACGCCGAAGCATTTCTCGCTGATGTACGACGCGGCGTAGTGCTTGGAGAGTTTCGCAGGCGACGCGATGGCGACGACATCCTGAAGGCGATGCTAAGAAGACGGTTGTTGGTGGTACTGGTGGTGGTGGTAGTGGTGATGTTTCGAGGTTGAAGAGAATGAAGTGGGGAAATATGGATTTTGACGCGTCGCGATTTTCGCGTAAAGTGTTTTACTAGCGCGTTTTTCAGATCAAGGGCTGGGCTGGCTGGGTGACAAACCGGGCAACTCCAGCGTTATCTAAACACATCTTCATATCCACACTGACTTTGATTCTTTAAAATACAACACTACACATTCCTGGACCATATCAGAAATGAAATTTCTACCGTCTGTCCATCCGAAGCCAAGAAAGATCAGAGTAACCGCGAACTCACAAATTGCCAGAACACACAGGGTGGGTACTTTCTTCCAAAGACCACGTCGTCTAGACAGCAGTATCCGCCCAGTCCATGACTGAGCCTAACCTGCATACTATGAACAATGCCATAGTAAAGTCGACCCAATCCTGCTCAAGCGACAAGCTCACTTCGGTGAGAACCATTTGCAGCTTGTCGGCGCATATTTCAACTCTAGGAAACAGAACAGTCAGTACTCTACATCACCAGTTACCATTTGTTCGGCACCACGATACGTACAAATAGAGCAGTACTTTTTCATCCCTCGTGCAGTCTGCCGGAAAGACCATCGACCTTTGGTAATCCGACTCTGCATACGCTTTGCTCTCGGACTGCTCTCGGGGGAATCCAATCCTTTCCCCCAATCGTGCAGGCAAGTTCTTGCCCACGAGAGTGTTGGTAGATTGAACGGCCATGAGAACAGCTGGGTAGGCGAGACTCGATTTTAGCCATCCTCCGTCCAGCCCATCGTATCTGAAGCCCATAGCATCGTTGGGAAATCCAAACCAAGCGATGAATAAGGCCCCATGAAGAAGCATGGATCTAGCGAACATGGGCTCAGTCCCAACTGGTTCCTCCACGCGCACTCCGTTGCCCTGAGCCTCTTCACACTCGGCTTCAGGATCACCTGAACCTATCACCGGGTCCAGCCTCTTAGGTTCTACCGGCGTCAAGAAATATTGTTCCAGGCACATTAACACGAGGATGGTGAGGACTAGTAGGCCGAGCAGGCCCAAATCCCATCTACCATGATACTGAAAATCGGACGGGGAACGAGCTGCGCATTTGGTTCCTGTGGTATCGGCGACACGAATTTCATTTGTGATGTTGGCGAAGCTGGTCCCGACGGGCGTGGACGTGTATTGGATCTGCGTTGCCAGTATTGTAGCTGCATAGAGCTGCGACTTCGGGGCGTACATTGTGGCCAATGTCGACTGTGTGGAAAGGTTCCGTTGAGCAGAGGCGGAAAATTGATCCCCCCGACTGAACTACTTTTGTTTAACCACTAATACCGTCATTATTCATTAGTCTGTTGGGCTATTTTACTATGGTCTCCAACTTTCCTGGGTTAGATCCCGCGACTAGGTCGACCGCTCAAGCTCACAGCAATCTAGGCGCGAACTAATGAAGGTAAGTGATACGTGGGAACGAGGAAACATGATCCAAATTGCGTCCTTGCCTTGCAATCAAGAACAAGAGCTCAAACATCAATTAAAGTATTCTTTCAGACTGCTCAATATCGCTAATAATAGTAAGTTGCGGAATCCTTCCCTCTCCCCCCCTTCCCCCCGCCAAACTCAAGGCCACATGCAGCCAGCGGACTCGACATAGCTCTCTCTGACTCCGTAGAGCTTGCTAAACGAATCCTGATATGTGCCCGGCGCGACCAGGATCTTCCTCACCCCGTCATCGCCCATCTCGTGCCTCTTCAGCATTACGTTCCATGAGAAACTCGAGTGCCCGATGCCCGCAAACTCCTGCCCCTTCAGCAGCACCAGGTAGTCCACCAGCGCGCGCTGATCCCACTTCAGCCGGTCGAGCTCCTCCTTCCACTTCCCGCGCAGCAGATCCTCCTTGTACGTGACGGCAACTTTCCTCTCTTTCGCTTCCGCCGCCAGCTTGATGATGTCGGGGTATCGGCCCGACGCGACGTACATGATGGGGATCCGGGACCTGGTGGCCTGGTCGATGTACGCGGCGGCTTGGGCGTTGTAGTGGCTGTATTTGACGTTGACTACGTGGCGCTTCTCCGGACCCATCGGATTCTCGGTAGCGAGATGGACGCCGATGAACGAGGGATTGATGATAGGCTCGGACAGGTTGAAGGACTGCATCTCATGCCACAGTGAGAGTTCTTTGAGGATTTTCGTTGCCAGGCGACGGATATCAGGCCGGAACTTGAGGATGTGGCCAAAGTGATGTGCCAGCTCGCGGCCATCCGAGTGAGTCGGGTAGTGTAGAAATGACTGCTCGAGATCGATGATAATCGGCTCCGCCGCTGGTTCGGCGGCCATGGACTTGTCGATCCAGACATTGAGCTTGTCGGACCAGGTCTCGGGTCGCTCGATCCCGCCAGCCGGGAGATTCTCGAAGAGGTTTTCGGGCAAGAGGCTTCGTCGTCTTTTGCTCGTCGTCTGCTCCATGTGTCTGATGAGCAATAGCTCCGGACACGACTTCCTCAACGAATCCACAAAGTGGTTCTTGTCGAACATGTAATCCATCCCCATCCTACCCCGCCCATTTCGCCTCTGAGCCTTGAAATCCGTCTGCATCTCCGCCTCATCCCCATCCTCACTCCCCTCCCCATCCCCATTCCCACCTCCGTCCTCATGCGAATGCCCGGGCTCCATATCGTCCATCTCCCTCACCGCAATACTCGGCAGCACCAACGCCCCCCCGGCGCCAATAGCATACCGCACACAGTTCAGGATCGAGTTCCGCACGTGTCCGATGCCCCCACGGTTCTCGTCGCACGTAAAGACCAGACTGGAATTCCACTCCACGCTCGAGCAGATGTCCTGCAGCTGCCACGAGTCCAGGAGCGGGAAGTCATAGACGTCGTTGTCGGGCGTCGAGACCGGTCGGCCAATCGCCCACTGGACGTTCTTGGGGAGCTCGCCCTCGCCAGCCAGACTCGACCACAGCCAGAGGGCGAGAATGCTGGCTCCTCCCAGAGAGAGATATCTGCGGTTGAGTCCAAGCTGCATTTTTTCTTCTTCTTTTCTTCTTCTTCTTCTTCTTCTTCTTCGTCTTCTCCTTCTTCTTCTTCTTTTCTCTCACACACTCTCTCACTCTCTATCTTTTCTAGAGGTATCGCCGGCTTTGACTGGATGGAATGTTTAAAGAGGAGAGAAGTCATCTTGAATGCAGACGAGATGACAGCTGGTTGTGGCAAGCCGCCTGTGCTTGATGCGACATGGTGTCACGGCGCTCTGTTTGAGATGTTTCGACGATGGTGGTTCGCGTTTGGACTTGGCGGCATTGCTCGCTTAAGTAGCGAATGGAAGCGAAGTCCCCCCTTCCTTTTTTTTTNTTTTTTTTTTTTTTAAATTCCTCTAGCGAGCGCCGATGCGTACTTGGGAAGCTTACCCTTGACGCTCAACGAGCCTGGAAGGGTAAGAAGCAGCCCGCGGAGCAAGTTGGCATTGGCCACGGTCCGCTAAACTCGGACGGTTGTGGTGGCGGCCCTCTCTGACTTTGCTGCCTCACTGATCTTGTTTCAGGGTCGTCTGAAACGCGCCGTTGATAAAGAAACATGTTTTTTATTCCAGCTCTGCGACTAGGACTCGTGCCATATTTGATATATGTCTGATCGGGAAACATATGACTGCTCCGAGCCACAAGGTGAGAAGGCTTTCTACTATAGAGCCCGGAAGTTGGCTGTCATATTCTGCTGTCTGTCAATCTGTTTTTCGTCTTAAAAAGCCAGCGCGCTAACCTGCAAGGAATTTTGTAACTTAAGATCAACCAAACCGGCAAGTGTGAAACGAGAATACGACATAAGAATGATAAGAAATGGTATCAAATATACTTCTGGTATTCGCTCTATACAATCTCAATATTAAGGATCTTGATATCTTCTTCTGGCTTTTCTTTATGCACCCTCGCATTCTCGATCTTGTGGATGACATCCAGACCTTGGATCGCTCGTCCGAAAATCGTATGCTTGTTATCCAACCAAGGCTACCGAAGAATTATTAGCTCGAGCCAGCCACTACATCTCCGGCGTGCAACTTACCGTCTTTTCTGTTGTAATGAAGAATTGGCTTCCATTGGTATTCGGCCCAGCATTGGCCATGCTGACGGTGTATGGTTTGTCATGTTTCAACGTGCTAAACTCGTCTGCGAATTCCTTGCCCCAGATACTCTCTCCTCCAGTTCCATCTCCGAGAGGATCACCGCATTGAATCATGAATTTTCGGATGACTCTGTGGAAGATGGTGTTGTTGTAGTATCCTTGCTTCGAATGCACGACAAAGTTCTCCACAGATTTCGGGGCCGCGTCAGGAAACAGACGGATATGGATGTCTCCGTATGTGGTGTGGATGATCGCTGCTGTTCCAGTCTCTGCTGCCTTCGCCTCAACCGCCTTCTTGGAGTTCAAGTTGGTCGGTTTCTCGTTCTGGACGTCTCTTTCGGATTTTGAAATACTCTCCTCGTTGGTGAACATGTAAAATCGAACTTTGCCAACTCCGGTGGTGAAGAGGATGGGATCCCGGACCTCTGACTCTTGCAGGAGCGGGTTATTGGAGGCAGCCATGGCGACTGTAGTGATGCCTTTCTTTTGCGGTTGACCTTGATAGATGGCCACACTGAGTGGTCTATAATTTTCTTCTTTCCCGAAGACCTTCACCACCCGGTTTGTGTACGTATTCAGAACTTTAGTCCCAAGCATGGATCCGTAGATGATAAAATGTCCCGTCTCGTCGAAAATCACATTCGCCTTGTTCCTCAGCGCTGGGCTCTCAATTTCTCGCTCTGTGGCTAACCTGCGTCCAAATTCAACGTCCTCAAGTTTCTGTAGAGCCGTACCAGCTTGTTGCATCTCTTCTATTATCTGTAATGACTCGTCATATGTCCTGTAGAGTTTACCCGTGGGGAAATCAAATACCCGGATCTTTCTATCAGGGAATGACAAGGTTGCAAATTTTGAGCCATTTGGAGATATTGTCAAAGATGTGGGCGTGGATTTTGCCTTCTTGAACTCGAACAAATTCGTCGAGCTCTTGTACTGGAACACATTCTCCGGTTTCTCATAGGTCCCAGGTCGCCAGTATTCGACCATTCCATTTTCGTCCGCCGAGATCACACAATCATACGCGTCATTGAATGCCATGAGCGACACAACGCTTCGATGTAATCCGGAAAGAGTGTGGATCGGTTCTTGATTTTCTCCACGGCCGTCGTACATTCGAATCGTATGGTTGACTTCGTCGGACACTGCTAGCAGGGGCAATGAGGCGCCCCTCTTGTGTATCCAACACACGCACTTCGGGGTGAATTCTACAGTCAGCATTGACAATAAGTCGAAGGTAATGACATCGAAAATCTTGATGGTCTTGTCCACCCCCGCTGTCGCAAAGCTTCTCCCATCAGCGCTAACTGATACGCTCTTGATCTCTCCATTATGCGCCCTAAACTCCTTAACAAACTCAATGTTATCGGCTCCCTTCTTCCAGAACTTGACCACGCCGTCCACGGAGCTGGTGAGCAGAAAATCGGTCAAGGGCGTCATTGTCAGGAATGACAGTTGCTCCTTGTGCATGAGGGATTTCGAGTACTTCGCGGACGTAGGTAGGGCAGATATGTAAAGCTTTTCGTAAGGCAGCTTGCGGCGCTTCTTTTTGGCAGCCTCCGGGTTTGGGAGCTGCGGGCCCATGTCGTCGTCGGACGAGGAGTCTACAAATTGTTAGCAGTATTTTGGATATGCCGAGGGCCAGCCCTACCATCATCGTCTGATCGACTCCTCTTACGGGATTTCGTTTCCATGGGGTCTTCTGCCATGCTGGTTGCGCCCTGACCAGCTGTGTAGGTGGTAGCTTTTGGTAGTGTCAGTTGTAGATGTTTGGCCTCGGGGAATCTGCAAGGCTGACCTTATTTTCCTGAGTCTCGGGCCTCGGGCTTACATTATAGCCGATCGGTGCTATGTATTCCGACTTTCAGTCTCGATATCATCTTTCTTCTCCAGTTCTCCTCTTCGGCCACGATAGATCTCTTGTAAATATAAAGCGCCATGTCTTCGAAATCGACGCAGCAGATGTTGCGCCACCCCCTGCAACGACTCTCCTCTCCCAGCCGAGGCATATCGGCTGTCTTCCATCTCATTGGCATCATCTCCTTCTCTCTGTCCTACAAATACCTCTCGGACTTTCCAACCTACATAAACGATTCGTACGGATGGCATTGGCAATACCTGACGATCTTGGGCCTTACCGTGGCGCATCTGACTTTCATCGCGGGCTTCCTTGCGGATGTTACCCTCTCTCCAACCCTCTTCCTTGTCAAGAACACCTTGTCACTCTGTTCAGCTCCTCTAGAGGTCCTGATCAGTATTCTGTACTGGGGAATCAGTGCCATCGACAAGAGTCTACTGGTCCCACCGGATCTCCAAATTGACTTCAATGCAGACATATCATTCCATGCGATGCCCGCTATTCTGTTGGCCATCGATCTGCTCTTCCTATCTCCTCCGTGGATTATCAAGACCTCGAGAGCAATGGCTTTAAGCTCTGGGATTGCGGTTGCGTACTGGGCTTGGGTTGAGCAATGCTACAAGCACAACGGATTGTAGGTCATGTCGCGCCATAGCTGGGTGAAATTGGCTGACTGAACTGCAGTTACCCATATCCCCTCTTTGCCGTGCTCGGCACTGGTTCTAGAATCGTCCTCTTCACAGGAGCAGCTCTTCTCATGACCGGTAGCACTATCATGCTGCAAAAGCTCTGCACGCTGGTGAATGGGCGGCAACCGGCGGACAGATCACAAGCGCCAAGCAGTATCAAGGAAGAATGATTATGAAATGTGTGTTTGGTAATTCCTTGATTGACGAGAAACCTATCATAGATTTCCGGTTTTTTTACAAAAAAAAATACACTTGTATTCTAGACCGAATCTTGTAGCCTGTCCTGTCACCTTCTCTATCCCACGAGCACCTGTAAAACACAATGGGGAAAGGATTGCTCTCCTTTCAGTCGATCATCTCGTCATCTTCGCTACTGTCGGCGTCGCTGTCCGTCCAGCCCATTAATTCGTCCTCGTGGGCATCAGTCTCACTGCCCGTGATCCCGTCCTGCAGTTCTTCATCGTTGGAGAGATTGGAGCTGACCATGCCCGAAATCAAGTCGTCGACTCCATCTTCCTGATATCCTTGGAGCTCTCCCCGTCTTCTTATAAGCTCTTTGACGCGAAAAGTCAGTCACGATGTACAGACCAAGAGGCCCAAGAGGCGTTAGCATACCTTTCATTGTCATTTGAGCTTTGAAGCCCTGTAATCAGAGTCAGTCCTATCTACCATCTTGAGTCGCAATGGGAAACCACTTCGGAGTCACATACCATTACTGGTTCTTGCTCGCACGAGCCAGTTTCGGAGGCGGTCATCGGTGTATCGATATTGCGGCTGAAGAACGGGCATTTTTCTCGCAGCTCACGTACCCGTAGGATGAACTCCATGTCGGCGTCTAGATCAGGGGGGCCGTCATCCATCTCGATCTCAGGGCTTGACAGTGGTGTCGAGAATTTTCGGACGCGGGCTTCCGAAATCTCCCTTGATCCAGTTGGGGTCAGGAACTCCTTAGTGGTGACGAGTTCGCAGGACATCTCATCGCTGAGCTCCTGCCTCGAGGCAGCGAGCTTGGCGATGCGTCTTGTGGATATCTCTTGAATGTCGGTTGGAGTCAAGAGTTCCTGGGCGTTGGAGGACTCACAGGCCATCTCGTCGCTACATCCCTCTCTTGAAGCAGCGAATCTGGCTAGGCGCCCTTCGTACATGGTTCGGCGCTGCTCGTCGGTCATGGCTGGCTGGTCAGTGACGGTGGGCTCGCAATCCATCTCGGAGTCGGGTCCTCTCCTTGCGATGGAGTGGTGGCAGGTGCGGTGCTCGCGGATCTTTTGGCGCTCAGTTTTGTCTAGCTCGTACTTCAGGGTGGATTGGGTTTCTGTGTTGTCGGGGAGTGGTCTCGAGTCGATTTCCATTGCAGTGATCATATTTGTTCCTGTGAGGTCGCAGTCCATTTTGTCTGGCTTTGGTGGTCCTTGGACTGCTGTTATTGGTTCTTTATAGGTGAGGGAACCTGGCGAGAATTTTTCTCCTGAGACTGAAATAATTGGTGATTGCGGAACATCCTGTCGTTTGACTGTAATGTTCCCGTGTTGAGTTGAAGTTGTTGAGTGCATGCGAAGGGGGTTGTGTGCATGTGAATGGGTTGACTGCGCTGAGCATTTCTGAAGTATACGTATATATGCAGACTGGGTCAGCCAGCATCGTCAGATACTAGAATAAGCCTGGGGTGCTTGCCAATATCTCAATATCTTCTCTCATATCATGATTTTGTCTGTTGGGGTGAATGGCTTTGAGAAAATTTCCTGATACCGTACAGGTTGGTTTGAAGAGGTGGGTATATCTCCGTCAAACCAGCAAGGGCCGCATAGCTGCTACCCTTTTCTTGACAGACCGAGATGACTCGGGGGCTATGGCACGACTACTCAGGTGGTTGAGGTAGGTAGGTACATTACCACCCATGGGCGAAGGGAAGAGTGACTCCCTCAGACAGTCAAAGGAAACGTGCTTGTTGGTTTCGGATTTGCCCTCCCCGGGCGATTGTCTTGATTCAGCTAGTTTCTGGAACCTGCCCGTCACAGAGAAAGATGCACACCTGAGAAAGAAAAAGAAAAAATCGCAGTTTTGGATCTGGCTATCCTGCAGAAGATGGGAGGAGAGACGAACAGAGACAAGATCGCTCGGATCGAGAGCTTTGTTACCGAGAGAGAGTCTCGACGATGATGAGAGCAAGCATAACCTTCAGCAAGCCAGGCAGCTGGGCGAGAAAGCCGAGGAGGTGGCTGAAGTAAAGCTGGACGACGGTTCTGTAACTGTTGCTCGCGATAAGCCAAGACCAGTCAGGGAGTCAATGGTGTTCAAGTCAGACTACATTGTTGAGCCTGAGTCTGTTGCATCAGCCCTCGCCGCAAGCAACCTTGGTCTGCTCCATCTTGCCACACTCCCTCTCCCCGTCGAACTGGACGCCACACCTCAGACCCTCCAGGTGCCTGCGACGATATCTACCAGCAAGACCGAGGAATTATTATTGGCTGAAGCGGCCCGAGCGAGTGGTGAACCGGACTTCCACCGCCATGCAGACGCCATCCATACGACACCTGAGAGCAACATGATGAAACCTGCAAACCTCTTCTCTCCCTTCGCGGCTCAGATGCCCACGGCGGAAGAGTTCAAGGCCGCTGAAGCCCAGTTTTCCTTTCCTGCCACTTCTTCGAATTCGATCCCCCTTCAAGTCCAGTGGAATCGAGGCAAGTCAAGACCAAGAATTTAGAGGCCAGCTTTGCAGCACTCAATACTAGTATCGCTCAGAGGCTGAGTCCCGAGACCAGATCGATGGCGACCCCAACGCTTGCCGAGTTGGTCATCGTCGGCTCACTAAAGCGATATCATGAAGGGTGGTGGCACGACTCGCATCAGTCGCGCTTCTAATATTCGCCAAGTCAGCTTTATAACACCAAAACCATATTTCAAGGTAGAAGATGCGTTGGAGGAGCATGCTTCAGAGGCCGCGTCGGAGTCGTCTTTTACGTCGTACCGGTATGTCAGCCAAACCAGCGTGCGGTTCAGACGAAGTGGAACCACGGGACCGAAGTCGATCGGTCCAAGCCACCCAGCCCGCTTTGAAGGTCGCAACGGTGCGCCTCACAGCTACCAACGAGGAACATGCATCCACACAGGAAGTCTTGGCTCGTGGAAGCCCCGGGGCGTGTTTCCGGAAGTTCTGGAATCTGGATGATGTTCACCGGTGTCTGGCTTTCTGCATTCGGGATGGCAGCGATGGTACGAGGTCAAGGCCGGACTGGCCGACCAGCAGTTGATCGATTACCCTTGCACCTCTTTTCATGTCTTCCAGAAGGTCATGGGTTGGCTTGGAAAAAGGGGATGATACTACCGTATCCGTACTTTATAGGGGCGGATCAGTGGGTAACTTGGCAGTGCAATACGCTTAAGTGACGAGATTATTTCTGGGCGGTAACTCTACAGAGTAGGTACTGCTCCATACCGTAAATCACATAAGAATAAGCGTAGTGCTCATAGAATCGACGTGAAGATATCGAGCCCCGTTCCAGTCTTCACTTACCGTCCATCGTCTCAACTGCCTCTGAAATGCGTTACTACTCCCTCTCCCTCTCCCTCTCATTTGCGGCCTTGGCTGCTGTCGCTTCTGCGGCCAACCTCGCCGACTATGATCCTCAACCTGGAGTCCAGGAAGAGTTCCGGCCGTTCTTCCAAGCGTGAGCTCTCTCTCCACTGTAGAGATCTACATGTACGGCGTCCAAACTTGCTAACCTCCGGATCCCTCTCTTAGGCTTGTAGACGCCGCCGAGGACCCCGCCGTCACGACTGGATACACGGACTACTTCCCGGCCGACGGCATGCAAACAACCTTGACTCTCCACTGCGTCGGTGCGAGCGGCATCCAGGCCTGCAAAGATTACTTTCTGCAGGATGGGAGACAGCTGGTGGTATGCATGCACCTCTGAGATCCACGAGGAAAAGGAAAAAAAGAAGAAGAAATCGAGACCAGGCCACTGACATCTTTCCTACGCAGCACTGGCCGAACACGACGTTCGTGGTCGATAACAACGCGACCGCCACGGTGTACGAGGCCCACGGCCGAATCGAGAACACCTACGTGGATGGAAACTGCTCGCAGATCTAGTAAGTCCCGTCCCGGCAGCAACAAGCACCACCACAAGAGCATCAACCAGAACCAACAACAACAACAACAACGTTCTAACGTATCCCGCAGCTATAAGACGCAGTACACCGTCCTGAAGACGGATCAGAGGGTGGACGCCCCTCCCAACCTGTCCCTGAAGCCGGAGGGCCAGGTCTACTGGTACCACGACTACTACATGTCCCCGACGACCGTGCCATCCGATATCCCCTGCGACAGCCTCAAGGCCTGAATGGGAAGCTCGGGTGGGGGGGTGGTGATGGTCATGTAGTACATATTCCTATGGCGCAAAGAAATTCTTTTTTTTTTTTTTTTTTTTTTTTTTTTCGAAAGGGGGTTGCGCAAAAGCCTGCCTCCCTGGGTCCCCTGGGTCCGTAGTAGCGGTTCCAGGCTACGGGCGTCGTTGAGTCAGGGCATGTTGTAGAGAAAATTAGAGATTAAATTCGAACGCATTGACGATGTACTACGTGTAGGGCAGAACTGGGTCCATCGTTTTAACATGGGGGGGAGATCGGTAAGTAGTATCGACCATGCACCTAACCTAATAGGGTAGTACCCACCTCGGAGATTTCGGAAAGGTGGTTGGTTGGGCCTCATGCACAGAGGCAGCTAGTAGTACGTACGTAGTAGTAGTAGTACTGTACAGTAGTAGTAGCGCTCCGAGGTGGGAACTACCCGACTCCCGTAGTGGGTATTACCCTACTCCCCCGCCTAGATACCAACCCCTCCTTGGGGTGCCTTAAAAGTTTAAAACTCCACTTTAAACCCCCTGGTTGCCCTATCCTTGAGGGGTAATACTTACGCCTGGGATTGTACGTAGTACTACGTACAATGCATCCTCAGCCTGTAACACTTAGGCCGGTACCGTGGTATTTCGAGGCTGGCCAAAAGAGGGAGTTCTAAAACTAGGCCAAAGTGTAAACTGGCGTGTTTTTAAGTCTAGCAAAGATGTAGGACTACGTATAAGATCCGCGGGGTTGATGGTAATAAGGCCGAATCGAAAAGGGCCGCGGTAATGGAGAGATGTGCAAAGCTCGATGATAGGTAGTAGTAGCTGATAGTTAAGGAGAGGCATCAAAAGGCTTAGTAAGGTATCGCAGAATAGCTTAATACAGAGTTCGACGTATATCGGTCCGTGTGGTTGTGTTGGGTTTGCAGTTCGTAGTACTACGTAAGTGCAAGCTCTTGTCGAGGAGGTGAGGCTCGAGAGGCAGCGAGCGGCTCGACGAAAGAATTAATAGGTGCGGTGCTATTGCCAGCCTGGCTATACTTGTAGAAATTCGAATGTGACATAACGAAGTAAGTAGGCTTCATCGCAGCAATTCGGATGAAGTGATGCGACGAAGTATGTAAGCTTGGTCGCAGCAGTCCGAATCCGATGGTAAAGCGAGGTGCGAGAATAAGGATCGCAGCGAGTCGATAGCTTGGCCGAAGAAGGTAGTCTCGAGACTCAAATGAATGATGGTTATTCTCACTTTAATGCGGCGGCTAAAATGAAATAGTGTTAAGGTACGGTACCGTACGGCGTATCTAGTCGTACGCTTGGTATTGAGAAAGTAAGACGGGGAGATAGAAGTACGTAGTACGTAGTACTAAGTACAGTAGACTACAAAGCCGAAAGTACCGTACCGGTATACCGTGCATCCCCGGGAGCGGGATATCATATGACCTCGGCTAACTAACCTAACTAAACCCCTAGAACCTCAACCAACCCAAACCCTTAGAACCTTCCTTTCCAGGACCGTAACATTCGACCTGTGTTTAATCTATTGATAGCTATAATAGATATTAATCAACTATCAAATTCACCGATTCTGTACTAAAACAGCCTTTCTACAATTTTTGCATTTCAAACACCGAAAAAACGACGTCTACGCTCGAAAGAAACTACTCGATCCGATCGAATTCGAATTAAAACTGCTCTCGATCAAGCTATAACCTGGAACAGTTCGAAAGAGATATCAAGAAGAGTATTCTTATACTCTCCAACAAAATCGGTTAGCTCGATCGACCTTTAACTTTTTACAAACTCGATACGGTCGATCATCGATTATCCCGCAAGAAAAAGTAAATGAGCTTCGAAACTAGCTTTAAGCTTACCATGTTTCCCAAGTTGTTTTATTTAAAGATATTCCCTCTTTTTTGGGGGGGCTCTCAAACTTCAATTAATTGATTACGAAGCCGAAACTACTCAAACGGCATCTCGATCTCTCGGATCCGGCATTTCGATGTCTCGGAGATGGTTGGTGGAAAGGAGTGACCAACATTTCATTACGTCACGACTCACTAGCGACACTAAAAAGTATATAGACTTTTCTGCCTCCATAGGATAACAACCATCCTCTTCCCCGACCCTTGGCCGGACATATTTTCTCTCGTATACGTAGTACGTGAAATGAATCGCGAAAGGGAAGGGATTTTCGGGAAATCTAAGGGTAATTGCATATCGATTCCGATTTGCTCGAGAAGATATAACTAAGTTTCGAAAACGTCTTTAAGAATAAGCCTTCCCGGACGAGATTTAGGCTTGCGAAAGAGCGTTTACACAAAAGCTAAGTTACTATCTTAGCCGAAGGTGATCTCGACGCGATTCGAGAAGACCGATATCGACTCGCGTATTTACGATACAAATATTCGAAGCAGCCTCCTCAAATGTTTCACGGTATGATTCCTAACGGAAAGAACAGTTCGAAACCTTTTGAGGAAAGGAATAGGGTTCGATGGATTCGAAAAAGTATAACGATATAATATTATCGCAAGTACGGACTTGGTTTGATCGAGGACGAAAAAGAGGAACACGATCAGCTTACTCTCTCCCCCCACACCCCCTCCGCTAAAATAAATGTACTACGTAACACTGGGTATTTTGTAGGCCGATTCTGAGGCGAATAGCAAGGGGTATAGCAAGGGGTAGTAGTAGAGTATGCAAGGGTTTTAAGCTACTACTACTATTTGAATAAGGGCCACTTAACCTTACTCATCCTTCGTACGGTATGCTACGTACAAGTAAGGAAATCAAAAGCAAGCAAGGCCTTGCTGTTGATGCCGTCTACGTCACCATTCTGATCGCCTGGCCCAGCTAAGAAAGAGACATGGTCTACAAGGATCCAAATCAAATAAAGTATACTGTTTCTTCCGGAATAACAGTCAACTCTAATCAAATTACAAAATGTTTCTCTTTTCGTTCCCGAGCACGAGTCATTACGGTAAACCAGTCCTCGTGAATTGAACCCCACAATCCTCAAACCCTCAAGAGACCGGCGCTCTTCGAAGTCGATAGGAGCGAAGCCCGTTCCACACGTGGCCGACATATCATACGCATACTTGCAGAAGTTCGAGGCGTCTTACAGATTCTTCGATGCCAGCCTCCATATTGAGGAAAAGACACGGCTAACCAGCGAACCCGCTGTAATCTTTCAAGCTGTGCAATGTGCCTTCGATGACGATGGCTGGTGCCCCTCTCCAGCTTCTGCCTTGAAACGAAGAGCACTTGGGGAGTTGCGTCTCAACGAAGGGCTTCAAGAGTTAAAAAATCAGGCTTTCCAAAAAGCTGCCTCGACAGCACAATTAATTTGTTGGGGGGGGGGGGCTTTTCAAGGAACACCAAGTGACGGTTTTCCATGGCCATTAAACAGCACGTGGGATCAGTACTCTATAGTCTCAGTAAACGCCCACCGCTGCCCCAACAGACTCGGCAAACGCCCACCCGCTGTCACTGGCAGGCATCACTGCCGCAGATTCAGCGAACCGCTATCATTCGTGGATGGGACGGGCCATTTCACCCGCCCGTTTCTTTGGCTGGCTTTCTGCAGCAAGGTTTCGAAAAGTGATTGCTCCCTGTGTATTCATTCGATCGATCGACTTCATGTCATGCTCGGTGTTCGTGGCTTCAATGGTTCGAGGTTTCAGCCCAGCTGAATTCCCAGACCACCAGGCGTAATTCCATTGGTATGAGCTTCGGAAATAGGTGGAACGGCTCGTCTGGCTGGAAGTCTCGTCTCGTATATCAGTATTCCTTCCAGGCTCGTCTCTTTCATGTGAAAGTTCGCTTACGGCTTGCAGCTCCCCGACGTTCAACTCAACAAAGCTCACAACTCAACAAAGCTCACCGAGTAAGACCTACCGAGCGCAATTTGAGGAGATCCGGTTTCTATCGTAGTGTATGAGTCAACAAGGCTGCTAGTTTCACGCAGATTCTTTGTGCCTATCAGGAGATGGCCTTCACGCCGCCGTTATTTTCGAGCGGATTGATTCTCTCTACTACTATCCGAAAACGATAACCGCACATTGCACCCAAGCTTCAAAGAAGGGACGTATCATGAATTGTCATATGATCCCAATAGCTATAGCTATGCACAGCATCACCAAATACGGGGCCCATGCGACACCTACTTCCTAAGTCTTTGGAGACCTCGTCTCGATACCTCATGTTCCCCTCAGCGAGAAGTTTGAGAATTGAGCGGCGAGAACTCCATTAACACGATCGCCCTCGGCGCAATGTCCCGCTCTACATCCTTCGCATAAATCGCTGCGGTGTGGGATTGTGCTCTCGCCCGAGAATTGCGGGCGCTCCTGCTCCACCCCGGACCACTTCAAGAGACGATACGCAACCCTCTCTGCATATGAGTCGTCCAGCGTTGGCACGGAGAGCCAATCGCACTTCTTGCAACGTTGACCGTACACTCTTGCGTTGTATCGCTTGCCCGGGTACATGCGAATGGTGATGGCGACCCGCTTGCTTGCCCATATCTTCGACTCGCAATTCCGGTTGCGGCAGTGGAACTTGCCCATGACCGTCGTGTCGTAAGTTTTGCTACACCCAAGTTCGTCATCGAGGTTGTGGAATGTAAACGGATGACCTTCGACTTCGAGTAGGCGGGATACATCGTCGTGTCGTGACAGGAACATCGACCAAGCTGGTGGTGCTTTTCTCCGTTGTGGTTTTTGTTGTTGCTGTCGTCGTGTCATGGCTAGAGGGGCTTGCCGATCTGAGGTATCGACGATGTGAGGTGTTGACGATGTGGGGTGTCAACGATTGGAGGAAGATAAATCGTGGTCTTCCTCCGAAGAGGAATGTTGGTTGCATAGGTGTTGCAAGTCTAGACTTGACGTTGGGGTTTTTATGTTGATGATGGTTGATTGCTATAGGGTTTCTAAGCAGCGGTTCCCTATAGGGAAGTCACAGGTCACGTGCACTGTGCTACGCTAATTATGTGGCTGTCAAAGGCCAACTCCCTGTACTTGCCCCCAGCCATACAACCGTATTTAGACAAAGGGAGGTGTTGAGCATTATCGTAGCATAAGATTCGTCTTCTCGCAGTGCTTCTAGCAGCAGCTTCCATAACCATTGTCTCCGCGCGGTTGGTGGATATTCAATTACCCTGATCCAACGAACAAAGCTTTCAAATGGTATAGGTGGGAATACAAAAATGAAACCACCAGGAAGACGCTTTTGCATGCAGGGCTTTTCAAAGACGGCAAAGCCCGCTGCTACGTACTACATCAACATGCGATCTGTCACGCTTCTGCTGCTTACCAGATCTGCAGAAGGCAGTCGTAGGTGGTGGTGGGCTCAGGTCCCGAACAGCCAGCCTCGCGCTCGAATCGGAGCGCTGATACCGTACGCTCTAACACACTAACCGGGCAGGTACGTATCGCATCCAAACCGATCTCAACTCACGCTCTCTCACTAGTATAACTTGTCGTTCTGAGCTCTTCTAGGTTTCAATAGCCGTGAGAGGGCTCGCTTGATAGGAAGAACAAAACAGACGGGCGCGGGGGGGGGGGGGGGTAGTCAGCATTCGTTTGGAGCGCTATGTACTGTAAGTATGCATTCTGCGTTATCCCCTGTCTGATGGAGCCGACGGCCTCGTTGCATGCATGTCTTGCAATGTTGGTGCAGTAGGAGCGGTGTACTTGGGTGGGTTGTTGAGGGACAGGAATCGTGGATACCTAGGAGAAGGTGTGGAATCTTTGGGGAGGAGCTGAGCTGCAGCTGATGCTGTATGCTTGCTGTATGATGATAACATTTTGGCTTGGGGCGCCTGCTGCTCTTCAGAAATCCTTTTCCGGTTACGTGAGAGCGGTGTGGAGTGGATCTTAGGATTTACTAGGTGGTACTGCTAGGTGATACTACTAGTAGTAAGTGATACTGGCGTGGAGATGAAGCAGATATACTACTAGTATCTTACCAGTCGAGATTGAAAGCGTGTGAGTAACGAGCACTACCTAGCTGAATTAAGCTTAGCTGTGGTAAATAGCTTTAGCGGGCCGATCCGTTCCGAGAGGCCGAGACGGAATTACGTAACTGACATGGAATAAAAGTCTGACCTTCAAGGCAGGTTTTGGGGGTTATTTAAACCGTCAGCTGATCATCCGACGACGGTCTCTTTGAAGGACGGCTTCAAGAGCTTAGTATACTACTACTACTGTACGTCCCAGGCGTGAGTATTACCCCTCGAGGAGAGGCTAACCAGGGGGTTTAAAGTGGAAACTGAACTTTGGAGGCACCCTCGAGGGGTAATACTAGTACTTAGGCCTGTACCGTGGTAGTTAGTGGGATTCACCTCAGGCCGATACTTAAGACTGAGTAGAATTTGAAAACAAAACGATTTAAATTATGTTGATCGTAGCTACGAAGGAACTATTTTCATCGATTAAAACCCCGTCTCTTATAAGAGCTCGTCTTTTCATTCAAAGATTTTTATCAAGATGAGACCGTTTTGATGGATCGAATCGTCGTTTATAAAAGTCGATCTTTTTTTTTTTTTTTACGAGAAGACCGTTTCCGAGCGTCTTGAGACCATTTTAATTAAGACCGTCCCATGGCCGTCCTAAAGCCAGCCCCGAACTTAAAATCGTCCCGGAGAACGTACTAAATTAGTAGGCAAATAATCTTTCTATTACTACGTACTTGCTAGTCTACCTTCTGCTACCTGACCTACACCACCCGCTTTCTACACTACCCCTTGTGTATTCGTCGGAGGCGCGATAGTCGCGGGGGGACCTTTTACTAAATCGATGGATTCCTATTACCAAAAATTTGATGCGTGGACGTGTAAGCCGTAGCAGCGACACCGAGACATATCTTGGCATCGAATTCACTAAATTATTATCAAAACGATTCCATTTGAGAAATGATTTTTTTTTTTAATCTACAACTATATCTTCTTTAAAAGAGTTATCGAACCATTTCAATTTTTTTAAAACGAGCTTATTAGTTAAGCCTATTTTAAAAATATAAACGAGGATAGCTATAGGACGGTTATAGGACGGTCCTAAGCTCGAGGACGATCAAAGAGGTGAATTTTTTTTATTTGTAAGCAGTACTGATTTTAAACGGTTCAATATCCGTCTCTTTTAGAAGAGGATCAGAGGACCATTCAAATGACCCCTTACTACCCGTTAAGGTACCAGCCTTGGAATTTGACTTGGGCCACCGTTGGTGACAACCAGCCAAACTTGCAGTAGCTCTACCATACCTACTCCTCGTTTCTTCGAGAAATTCAAGAAAAGGAAACACAAGAAGATGATTACCAACCTCCTCATATATGCATTCCTCTCTTGAAGAAAGCCCATGAGAAACAGCAGCGGGGTTTCTGATTTCCGCAACAACTTTCTCTACCTTTTCATCGTTCTATCTTACCCAAGTCCGCCTTGTCAAACTTGGGATGTCTATTTTCTAATTCTTCTCGTTTCCTTTTCTAGTAGAAAGAATGTCATGAGGTAAAAAGAAAAGGGGGACAAGAGATAAGAAGGTACTGCCCCTACCCGTCACGCTGAAACCAAACCGCTGAACTCCCCCCTCGACACCCCCCCTCCCCCCCGAAAAAAAGAAGGGGGAAAAGGGAAGAGCCAGACAGAGCTGATGGAAAAGAGAGTGCAGGTCTGGCGAAAAAGAATCCACGAATATCATTTAATTAATTATGCTAGTTGTCTGCTCAGCGCCCCACCATCCTGTCCTATCCATCTATCTATCTGCTCTAGAATATAGTCGATACACGCGTGCCATTGCGCTACTGCTGCTGCTGCAGTCCAAGGTCTCTCATTAACCCATCCCGTTTGCGTAGTGTGATTCGGCTGATTCCAGGATATGTATGTATGTGCTCTTCTCTGCGCTTTTCAATCCAAATGAGGTGAAGTAGGTGATGATTTCGCGCATGCATCCACTACTTATTGTGGTTGAAGATCGCCGTTACCGCCGATGCCGCAATGAGCGAGAGACTGTCGAGGAAAGGAAGAGGAAGGAAAAAGAAAAGCTAGCATCGGCTTTCCGCAGCCTCAATGCACTGCTCCGCAGGCCTCCGCAGGGCCACCCTGCTTCTCGCGCTCAGCAGCGGTACTCGTACTCTCGTCCGTGTTGGCGGCGATGATGGCCTGCTCATCTCCACGAGGAGCATGAGCGAGCACACCTGCCTTGATGCCTGCCGCGCTCTTCACCAGCGGGTCCATGCCGTGAGAAACCTCATCGCCCGGCTCCTTCTGCTCCTTCACGTTGTCATCATCATCGTCCAGGGAAATCTCATCCGGATTGCTGACGATGAAGACGAGGTCCTCCCCCCCTTCCTTGCCTTCAACATCATCAGGGGCGCGGCTCTCCGCTGTGATGCGGCGAGAAGTTGGAGCCTCGGCTTCCTGCGCGGTAGCTGCGTAGCCGCGCTTCTTCTTGTTGCTGCTGGCGACTTGGAACCACTGGAATAGCTGGGGCTGGGGCGGCGGCGTGACCACCTTTGTGTTCTCCGCAATAGCGGCAGTGGTATCTGGTCCGGTGGCGGACAGTTCCTCTGGGATGTGGTGGTGCGTAGTTTTCTTGATTGGTGATGGCTGAGAGCCCAAAGGGGGTGAAACGGGTGGGGAGGCGATGAGATGTGACAAGTTGACTCGTGGCGGGCTATAGGATAGCTTGCTGGCAATAGCGAAGCCCGCTCCCAAGGTAGGGGCTTGCGTAGGACGGTGGGGAGGTGAGATATCGGTGACGGAGGGCACCGAGCTGGCATACTTACTTCCGGCAAGACCAACGAGGGGCTTTGGAAGGTCTTGAGTGGAAGACTCGACCTTGGAAGTCGTCGCCGCGAGGAGTTGGTTGGTGTTCGGGGCTCGGAGGAGTGAGAGATCGGCATCAACAGTAGTTGGAGATGAGGTTGAGCCAGACTTGGAGACATCCGTAGCATCAGTGGTGCTGATGGGGCTATTGGTATCAGCATTGCTGCTCTCCACAGGTTCTGAGAAACTTGAACCAGTTTCTTGACCAGAACTTCCACGGGGACCTGGTGAAACCTCAGTCTCACTCAGTTCCCCGTTGACCTCGTCGGCCCAACTGCTCGACTGGAGCTTTGCACCGCTGAATATTGGGATATCGACTTTTTGCTTGGAGAGCGCAGCAAGCGGCTTTCTACCCTCAGCCTGGGTGCTCTCCGCAGCAATGCCCTCGCCGGGTTGCAACATGTTCCAGTTGGCTGGGTACGTTGGACGTCTAGGTATCACGCCTTCGGCCAACTCCTCAACATCGCCAGAGCACGGATCCTTCTCCCAGCGGCACTCCAAGCCGCGGTAGTAGTTGAACGTCGTGAGGATAGACCAGGCACCGCCTGCAATGGAGACACTGGAGAACTCCAAGTGCAGGACGCCCTCCTCATCGATGAACATCTCAACCAGACCCTCGGCTCTCCAGCGGCTTCCACAAGCGAGGTTGTGCTCGAGGGCATTGAGGGAGAAAGAGCTTGGGATACGACGCACAGCAATGCATCGAGTCTGTTGCGAGAGCGCTCTGGCCAATCTGAACGCGATCGGATAGGTGGGGGTCTCAATGAGAGCGATTTCAACGACCTTGGGTTCTCCGTCATCTCCCGCACTGAACGAAATGGGGTTCTTCTCCACATATGAAAGATAGGCCATTGCCGCAGCTTCGTCCTTGAAGACGACTCTGGCCTGGACGGAGTCTGAGGCAATCTTGCCCATGTTCAGAACAGCAACGTTGAGGACGTCACCGCCTCGGATTCTGGCCAGCACGTCTCGAGCATCGGTACCGAGAGGCAGGTTGCTGATATGGATTGTGCGGAAGTAGTTGGAATCCATCTCTGTTGGGGTGTATTGGATGCCATACTTAAATAGCTCAACTTGACGAGCCTCCCTCCGACCAGCAGCACGCATATGGTTCTTGACTGCATCGTTCTTGTCGTCAAAGTTGTTCCACAGGCCACCATTCCGGTCAAAGGCTGCCTCCTTGAGGTAGTCAGGAAGCTCCTCTTCGCGACGATAGCCTCGTGGACCATTTGGAGCTCCAGGAGGAGGACGCTGCCAATCCGTTCTTTTCCGAAGAGGAGGGAGCGGCTCAGGAGGCTTCATGTTGTCGTAGTCAGCACCCCGATGGGCACCCTCGGATCTGAACCCAACCTTTAGCACATTGGGCTTGGGCATGTTCAAGAATTGGGCATCGGCCTTGATAAAGTCCGCAATTTGCTCATCAATAGGGCGGTCCACATCAAATAGGCTGGGTCGTGTAGCTTGAGCCGTCGGGGAAGGGGTGGAAACCACAGCCGGGAGCCCGTTGTTCTCAAGAAAGTCTTCCAAGCTACACATGCCAACATCCGCCGCAGCAGGGTCGTGGACCGGCTTGACAATCGGAGAGTTTCGTCGGGTTGGTGAGTGGCTGGCATCGTCCATAGCCCAGCTTCCCATCAGCTCAGAGGCTGCAGGACCCGACAACTTTTTGGCTTGGGCGAATCCAGGATGGTGTTTGGGAGGGGGGATAACAGAGTCAATGGTGTGAGCGTTCTCGCCCCATCCGCTCTGTCTCAAAAATTTGTGATCTCTGCCCATGGAGCCGTCATCGTTCTCTCGCTCTCTGGCACGCCCACGAATCTCATGATCACGCTCCAGATCAGAAATGCGAGCTCTCAAAGAACGTTCAGCCTTCCGGTATCTCTCAATCTCCTTGTTTTGAGCAATGATCTTGGAATCGCTGCTTGACGTGAAATAGTTGGAATCTGGGACAGAAACAGCCTGAGGAGTCGGGGTAACAGAGGTACCACGAGTAATGGACTGAATGACGATGCCAATTGTGCTGACGACGTTCTCCTTGTCCTTCACAGCGTGATTCAGATCGTTCTCCAGAACAGCGTTTCGGATCTTCAAATCTATGATCTGATCTGCTTGTGAGGCATTGACTTGGCGAAGCTCGATGATCTGGCCTGCCTGAGCAGCATTTACCTGGCGGAGGTCCTGAGCATCCTTCTGAAAGGAGGTGACTATCTCAGACCCAAAGTCTTGCTTGACAAACAGTTCTTGTCCATACTTTGGAGCCGGGGCAAATGAAGGCTGAGAGAGGCAGCTCTCATTCTGGACGGCTGTAGGAGGACGGTATTGGGTAGTTGGAACGCCGAACTTCGATAGGTCGATGCCCGGGATGTGGTGAGCAACCTGCGGGTAAGTGCCAGGTAATAAAGACATGTTGACAGTAGGTGTCTGCTCACTGTTATGTCTTGAGACCGAGTGATATTGGTATTGAGGTTGAAGGGTATGTAATGCAAGGTATTATTTTAAAGTGAAGTATGTCGTGTGGTCGGTTGTCGGTGGATGAGCGTATCGTCTGAGGTGAAAGGGGAAGTGACGGTGATGCTTAGGAGGAACTCAAGCTGAGGCTATGGTTTCTAAGAACCTGAAGTGGAATTTTATGTAGGAGGTTAAGAGACAAGCCACTCTAGTAAGGAGCTTGATCCGTGCTGGTGATTCGTGAGCCTCTGAAGTTCAGTCGAGTCTTAGTTGTAAAAGGATCCGAGGAAGCAAAGCAAGAGTAGCAAAGTCTGTATGTAGAAGACGTGCTCAATAGAGGGAGGGAGTAACAAGCAATATCATGGAGAAGAGTGTGTGTAGTTGTGAGGGGTTGTGAGGTTGTCAAGAGATCGAGGGAGTTGAAGGGGAAGGGAGGAGCTCTTGTAAGTCAACGAAAGGGCGCTAACGATAGCTCGTCCGTAGATCGATCAATAGTAAAGAGACAATAAAAAGGTGAATTCCCTTTGGTTCCAATAAAGGCGATATTGAATGTGTATGTAGGATTATGCAGCAGTTCGACGTATCAGCTCCGTTACGTTGCCTACTCTACGTCAGAAAAGTGATCGGGCCATTCCTTTAACACATTCACTATAGCTTTAGACGACGATGAATGATGTATTGAGAATTTGCAAAGGTGAAAAAAAAAAGGGCGTGAGACCGTTATTGTTTTTGTCTCGCAGAAGCTACGCCTCTTCTAACGATTCCACTAGAACATAACGTCGACGACGCACTTGATCTGCTGAACTTCCTCCAGGCCAAAATTCAATAGGGAATATATGAGGGACGAACCTGGATCATATGTAGAGTGGCAGTCCTCGACACTGCCATAAAAGAGAATGAATCGCAATCGAAGAGCAAAAGAAGATCGCAACCTCCCCCCTCCATCCAGCAACATCATCGCAGTTCTACTCACTGCCCAAGCCTCAATTAGGAGCCAATGCCCTGATCGCCTCCCACACCCGCCTCCAGCGATGTGAGGCTCTCAAGCACTCCTGACACCCGCCAGCCTTGAAACACCCCCACCGCCTCCACAGCCAATCCCTCCCATCAAGCAGCAGACAAGAGAGCGTGACAAGCTCCGCTAGGATCCGCTAGGAGGACGTTCGTGAGGAGGGGCGCAAGGGCGACGAGGGCGGTGTTGAGTTTGAGGATCGTGGGAGGGGGAGTAGCGCTGGGGGACAAGAACATTGTTCAGTCCTATTTCTTTCCTGTTTATGGTGTTGTGGGTGTTGAGGTTGGGCTAAGTATGTAGATGGATATTTCGTGTACGTATGTACGTGTGTGTAACATTTCTGTTGATTTGCGGAGGCAGGCATCTTCTGGCTTAGGACGTCCCCGTGCAGTGGTGGTATGGGCAATAATGTAATGAATATAAATATAACATCCAAGCCTACTGTATCCGCGTCCGAGCTCTCAGAATGAAAGCCATTGCAGACCCCCTAAGCATCTCCCGAAGAAATAAAAAAGGTAAGAAATAAATAGGCAGGGAGGAGAAACGGACAGAGTAAGAAGTGTGGACATTAAAATAATCTAAGATCATGTCGGATGTCCATCACAGATCAATCCAGAAGCCGTTATGCGCACTTGCCAGTCACAAAAGACTCGAGAAGACCAGAATATCTTCCTCCCAAAATTTTTGCCTTCTCACTTTCAAACCTTAGCGCCCTCGAAATCAAAATACACCTACCCTCAGAGATTCCACGAGTTCAGCCTTTTCCTTCTCACAACGCGAACCGATTGTTCGATAGAAAGCCTTTGCTTCCCCTATTCGAGGCAGGTGGCGTGACGGTTGCTTCTGTGAACTCCTTGGAATGACCACCAACGCTGTTTGGTGGGTTGCCGTTGAGCACCCCGTCTCCGTTATTATAGCCTCCAGTGGCTCCTTGCAATTGGTGCGGGCCCCAAGCAACAGGAGGATTCATCTCGAGCTCACGCTCCTTCTTGCGGAGGTATCTGCGCCGGAGCATGCAGGCGCCGATCCAGCCCCCGACAATAGTCACGAACATGATGCAGATCATGATCACCCACTGGTAGTGACCAGAGATCCTAAGAAACAATCAGTCTGTCTTCCGCGTCTGAGAATTGTAAGGGGGTCATACCAACTACGATTACTATTAGCACTCCCCACAGGTCTCGGCGTGCTCGACCCCGTAGAGCTAGCCACCGCTCCATTCAACGCAGTAGAAGTTGGAGCAGTACCCGCCGCTGGGTCCGCAGCTGGAGCTTCAGCTGAAGTACTACTGCAAAAAGTGCTGTACCACGATCTGATAGCCGTCAGATCCGCTGCTGCAGAACAGCTCGCTGGACCACAGACTTGTGACACGCCAGATGTCCCATCAGTTGAAGTGAATGGCGTGAGGCGCGAGTCGGCGCAGAAACAATTATTGTCCACAGTTGCCTTTGCTGGAGGAGCACATCCTCCTTGTACATCGTAGAGAGGACCGCATAGTGCGGCACAGGCTGGCAGAGTCGAGAAGGGTACGATATCGCCATCAGGAGTTTGAGCAGTCGCCGAGAATATAATAGAAAGGAAGGAAAGTAGGACGGTGGTAGTCGGTGGACGCATCGTGAGAAGTTGTAATATTCTCCTTTTTGTGAGATGTAGCTCAATAGCAAGAGAAGATCGGAGTCGAGTGATTGTGCTGTGTTTCGTCTTGCAACAAATATAAGTCTTCCGGAAGGCTGCGGTTAGGTTCGGATTCACCAGCTTCGCAAACAACTGCCCAGAACCAATCTCCCTTCCTTCACTCCAACCTCTTAGTCCCAGTCGTCCCGGAATAATTCGGTCACGTCGTCGAGTCTCCAGAAGATGCTTCTTCGCCTACAAGTTTGATTCCACACTCAGCACCGAAGATCTCCCTAGGTCTCGAACTCGTTGCTGTTTGGGAGTCCCGTTTTTCTTCGCAGGGAGAATGGAGATTAGAGCGTTCTCTCGGGCTTATTATGACCAGGTATGCTCCTCACTTTCTCGTGTAAGCCCAGTGCTAATATTGGTTTTCGTGTCCTCGTCCTATTCTGCCGCAGCTTCGAGTATCCCAGATGTTGCGAGGAAAAGAATAAAGGAAAGTATTAAACGAGTGTGGATTTCTGGAGAAGAGAAGGAAGACGCTGTGCACGATGGACAAACATGAGGAATGTGTGTGTGAGAGTGTGGATGCCGGATGATGGGAAGTGCCCTGGGCCCTGGGACAATTGTCACTTCCCTCACTTCGGAGTTCAGCTGACTAAGCTCTGTCGCCCCGCTTAAGATCGTTAGTACCGGTATGCAGCATCATACATACTTGCTTCATTCTTTGGTATTAGAAGCGCATCCAGTTCCTTATTCCTTCTTCTTCTTCGTCTATCTTCTACTTCGTATCCCTTTTTGTCTCCTGGCCCAATTCTCTTTAAAAAAAAAAAATTCATAAAAAGACAACGCTAGGTTTGCAGAGGTGGGATTGATTGGAAGATGTTCCTACGGATTACGGACTTCTAAAGTAGGTACGTTACAGAAACAGACTTTGGCCAAGGAATCATCGGCGAGAGCATGTTATTTTCGGCTGCGGAAAAGGGCTTGCCCGTATCACGTACAGTATGGGGCGGAGGAACCTCGCAAACGAAGCGGGCTTTTGTTTACTCTGCTCGCTTGTCGTGACATGCTGCCAGGTCGATTTCCCGGCCAGTTACAAGGACTCTTCCAATTTTGCTTGCTTTCACCTGTTTATCTGGTACCTGGTTATAGGTGATGAATGACCGTATCCTTAGTCAACTGAGTCACTCGCGATCACGAGCTAGTAGGCACAATTGATTGCTCCTCCTGGCCATAATGAATAGATGATAGGATCGGGAATGGATCTTATATAAACACCTCTCCCTCCTTTCAATGGTATGCATAAACCTGGGTGCTGTAAAGAAAGACGCCAGGGTCGTCGCAGCACAGTCTGGTTCAGCGCCTTGCTTGTTACTACTTGCCTGCCTGTTGACTAGTAGCTGATGCCAGCTGCAGCTAGCCATGAACCAGCGTCTTGAAAACTGAATGTACTTTTACTCTATACGGTTGCGTGTCCCTCTGTCACCGTAAATCACTTCTCCTCTCAGGACCGACAGAAAGACCTCCTATGATTGACAGTAGCAAGAACCAACCTCATTAGAAGCCCTCCAAAGTGTTGCTAAGCCGTGACACTTATCTCTTTTCCCACCTACCACTGCCATATCTTCTTTCTTTCTGCCCCTAATTCCTAATACCCAACCTCCAGCGCAACATTGAAAGTAGCCATACCCCCCAATCGCCCATCACACCTCTTCATCACCTCCCCACATCCCCCAAGCGACCCTGCCAACACCCCTCCAAAACCCATCTGTGACAGACGCCCAAGAAAAGCGCAATCCATATCCAGCCTCTACGCATCCTCGTGACTGTATATGTATCTCCCATTTTGCGGCTCTGATCTGGCGTTTCCGAATACATATCAAATCTCGGGCTTCAAAGAGACAGGCTAACGTTCCATGTCCCAGTCGATGTGCCCAGTGGGCTTTGCAATATCGTGGTCACTACACTGTGTCAGAGGAACTACGTTCGGCCTAAACAGGTAGACTCCGACATACTCCTCGTGGCTCCCATACGGCTCTGGATTCCGAAGTCGACTACTTTTGTGCGAAACGTAGTCTCTTTGACCCTAGGTTCTTTGCTCTCTCCCCTCTTCTCGACATAGCAGCACGAGAAGTTGGCGATACGAAATAACCATGGGTCTTATGGCTTTCGTCGGATTCCGGGATTCTTCGTCGTCCATCTCGAGAATCGATATCCATATATCAAGCCTTGTGACGATATTGCCCACGATCCGGTATTACTGTAGGTCCAGGACCAGTATGGAGTTGATTAGACCAGGGTATCCTTCTGGTCGCCCCCAATGCATGTCCGGATGGAATACCACCTTTGCCTTCGGGGATTTGTATCGATCCGAGTCTCTTGAACAAGAGCAACGGGCCACATGGCAGTTTTCTGACAGATATGGAACATTCACATAGAAAGTTACCATGCCTAGCTGAGTGGCCAGTTGGTCACGTGGTAAACCGAGAGGTAATCACATTCAGTCCAGCATTCCTTGCTGAAGGAAGAATGATAAGATGGCTCCTATTCCAGCAATGTGGCAAATAAACAAGTCTCATCGGTGATCTTAGACAGGATATCTCACACCATGTTCAATACAACCAGCTGTCGAAGAGGACGATGTCTGACATGCTCCTCATGATGGAAGTGATGAAGATCGAGTTTGGATACTGATACGGGCTCTCGAAATCCGAGACTCGCCCGCTCCATTTTCTGAGGCGTCTCATGGAAGAGGTTAAATCTTGGCAAGTTTTGAAAAACAAGCAAGTTTGAGTATTCGATAAAGCGGAATTATAGCTAGTAGCTTGAGATTTTGGAGAAAAGCCAAACTGCATATGATAAAGCACTTGTGCTTAAAATCCAGCTGCTAGTCAGTACCAATGTTGGGTATGAGGCACATGATCGCAGAACACGTGTATTAATCATACAGATAGATGGCGAGCTTCTGAAAGATAATTGGCTCACCCTTATGGCAAGGCTTCCGTACCTGTAGTTATAACTACATATCGACAGCCAGAGAAGGCTGGTTTCCAACACCACGTTGGGTATGGTTTGAAAGAACCCGTGACATTTGTCGCAACGCGGGAAGATCAACCGGTAATTGTCGGCTCGCATTGACTGGAAGGATGAGATTGAGATCCACCTAAGCCAGCCGACAAATAAATCCTCGGACACAGAATTTCAATCCCTCATATTTCTTTCCGTTGTCGCGCGATTCCTCCGATTATTCCATGTACGTCGGTCGATCTGAAAGGGTGTGGCCCTCGGTCGTCCGTCCAAATACAAGTTTCCACACCAACGGGACTTGACCCATCTCCAAATGCCTCTCAATCACGTCTGCAACTTCGAAACCGATGCCACCTGGTCCATTTACGGAGTCAATTGGAAACACCCTGTCATCAACCCTGCCGGCGTTGACAACGACGAACTCGAAGACGCGATATCTTCATCAAACTCACCGGTCGCCACTTGCCCCAAGAACACCTCCGATGGTCTTTCTGCTATTGTGGCTACTAGCCTGGCTGCTACTCAAGCTGAGCTAGTTGCTCCAACGGCCCGAACTGCCTCTGGGGCTGCTCATAGCTCATAGTAGACGGGTCGAAGCAAGGAGTCCGGATGATGTGGTATTCCTCCAACGGAAAAAAATGGTACTGCAGGAGTCAGAAACCGTGTCTACAATGAGGAAAGGAAGCCCGAAGCCCGCAGAACTATGCTGTAAGAATCATGAAAATCACCCTGAGAATCCAACGGGCTAGAGACAGCCTCTGCACGTATTGTGCTGATGGAGTTCATGAGAGGTGAGTCTACGACATGGGATGGAACTCTTGCCCACTGTCTCAATCCCGGTAGCAGTACTCTCGTTGTCGTGTCAGATCTCATACGGTGGCTGCGGTACTAGGTGAATGAGACTCTTAAAAAGAGGGAAGAAGATCCGTCAACAAGCTAATAATTAGGTACTATAAGAGAGGAAGCTCGCCAACGTGCTTGACCTGCCAGGCTCGCTCGTACCTCGAGGGCTTCCAGGTCACAGTATCGGCCCGTAGTAACGGCTCGAATAGCGGTACCCGCACTATGACTACATGTCTGAAGGCCAACGACGGTACATCACAACGCAGAAGATTTGGATGTTTTCTTTGATTTCTAAACTCTATTCTTGAGACTGTACCAGCCAACTACAGATCCGCTATTCACAACTCCGCTCATCTCTTCTTTGAATATTACGCGGGCGACCATAATTGCCACCGTCAATCAATCCTACCTTGACGAATTTCTCGGGCGCTTTCGAGGATTTGGTCTACCGAAGAATCTGGTGACACCCCCGAGCCATGCCATGCGAGATCCATCGAGTTGGCTATCGAATACAAGATATGGCTCATCCTGTCTCCTTCCACTACCGCCTGTCAACAATCTCGAGACAGTTTTGGCTTGTACGCTCTGACACAAACTTCGTACTTCTTGAAACACCTGCTTCGAAACCTCACTCAAGATGAAGTTATAGAAAGATTTCAATCGAGTGGGGCAGGGATAAGCAGTACGTTGGTCAGTTGATGAATAAGATTGCGAGTTGGACGCAGTGTGTAGCTTTCTAAGTGTACTTGGAGTCATGTACTGCTTTTATCCTCTTGCTTTCGAATGTACCCCTTGGTGCTTTACTATGCCCTTTTTTTTGTTTGTTTTTTCTCAAGATCTTACGTCAGGCTCATGCTCTTGAACCGAAACACGGGAGGCATATTGTGCGAACCCGATACAAAACTGGGTTTCTCATCTATTATACGGTACTGTGAGTGAGTGCTGGGCGAGGTTGCCATCTGAAGGACACAGCAAGTTCGACAGCTGTTGGTTTTTTCGCATGATTCGTTTCATCTGTACTGTATTTCGAAACCTCGACTTTCGAAGCCGTATCGTCTTGTCCAATCATGGTTAGCGATACAACTGCTGTTGATGATGGCTCCATATGATTCTTACGATTCAAGAACTTGGGTCCCCAACCTACCTAGGCTTGCCTGTAGTCGCCTGTCTGGGTGTATCCTTATAGCTTGACGAATTATGCTTTGGCTTTACATGTGCTTATTGTATAGACGAGTATCTGTCCTCCATTGGCTCTTTCCATCATCGCTATTCCGATTGGTCCCGTGCAGATGTTTAAGCATAATTGCTACCCCGTTCGTCGATCAGTTCGAGGTCTGGTACGATCCTCACCCTCTCACATATTTCCAAATGATAGCTTAACCTTCCAACTGTTCAGCACGTCGCTCATGTCTCTTCAATGTTCTTTCGGACACTGCCCATTATTGCAGCCTTAGCATTACCCAGGACTGCACTCTCGGAAGACGGGTCATGCTTTCACCTAGATGGCTCGCAGGCTACCGACCATGTGCCATGCTTCGGCAACGACACCCTCAGTCGATGCTGCGGATCAGATCAGTTCTGCTTAACAAACCAGCTCTGTCTAGATACTTCGGGCCCGGAGCCAGCGAAGATAAGTCGTGGCTCATGTTCAGATCCCAATTTTGGTCCTAGTTGTCCCTCCATTTGCAAGGGAAGTACGTATACTCGCTTCTACATGCATCATTTAGGAATTGGCGCCTAATATCGTTCTAGTTAATGATGGGGATGTGATAGAGTTGATATCGTGTGGAGACCCGAAGATGGGAGTTTTCTGCTGTGACGAGGGTAACAAGTTCGAATGCTGCGACAGTCCAGCTAAACAACTCACACTTGGATTTGGTATCACACTCGCTGGAGACTTGGGCTCACCGACCGCAACGGCAATGCCGTATGCCCTGTCTACCTCATCGGGCGAATTGAACAAGCCACCATTCCACACCCCTGCTGTTCACCAACCACCGCTCGCGCCAGCTCAAACCGAATCTTCAACTTTCACATCGCTGCCACAGCCTCCACCTCAGTTGTCCGTTGCTCAGTCTGCTCCGAGGCCGTGTTCAACTCCATCTTTACCCATACTTGCGCCGCCCCAAGAGTCAATCAGTAGCATGCCGAATGCTTCACCTGCTGTGTCAAGCTGGTCAACCAGTCAGCCGTCGGCGCCAGCGCAGCCTTCCTCAATCCTGCCGCCGCCACAGCCGGCCCCCCAAGGCTCGATAAGTAGCTCGCCGAAAGCTTCATCTGCTCCATGCCTTCTATCGTCTCAATTGAACCAACCATTGGTCCAAAGCTCTACTACTACTACTACTCAGCCTCGCCTGGCGCCGGTCCACACATCTGTACAGAGTTCTTCCACTACGGTTCCGCAAACGTCTCTGGATCCCAAGACGTCAGTTATAACCGCTTCTCAATCGGCTGTGGGCACATCTCCTGCCACACCCGTGTCTTCTCCCCATCGACGAACAAGATCATTCACTCCCGAGGAATCGAGAGGGGGAGTCGCGAACCCCAAACCACAAACAACGTTATATCCGTCCTTGGCATCAACTACATCGATCTCCGGGACTACATCGATTTCCGGGACTACATCAATCTCCAGCCCATCCCCTGCCGATTCTGCGATTGCTGATGCGACAGCGGGCAGTGTCATCATATCTTCTCCCCCGATTTCTAACGTTGCGATCATCAGCTCAACCGTAGGAGGTGCCATCATACTCTCCTTGCTTGGATTTCTCGCGTACACGCTTCTTAAAAGACGGTCAGCGAAGCGGTACGAAGAAGGCGACGAGCGAGAGAGCCCCGGGAGCAGCAATTATACGGGTGGTTTGCAGAGCGCTTCGCCGGGGAATTATCGCAGCGGGCAGAACGAGATCTCTGCATTCGGTCTTCAGTACGAAAAGTCTCATGGAGGCCCGAACCCGACGACCGTCGGGGCGCCACCGATCAACAGTGGGATGGCTGGACTTCGGAATAACAGCACCAGGTCACAAACAGAGACGGAGGTCATCATGGTGGAAATGGATCGGATTAATGCGCTACGATCGCCGGACTTCAACAGGCCCATGGCGCCAGCACAGCAGATGAATGGCATGGGGAACATGGAGCAGAGGATTGACGTTTCATCCAATGGTTACTACGGGAAACGGGATTCCGACTGGAGCGTGCCAACATCGAGGTTTGAGCAACAAGACGGAGCGAGCGGGCTCTACACCAGCGGGGTGTATTCTATCCCGCAGGGCGGGGAGATGGTTAATGGAACGAGACCCCAGGATCCCGGGGATCCGGGTTACGAGCGGCAGAGAAGTCCTGGTGGTGGACCGATGATCGCCACGCGAACCGCGGCCTGGATTCCCAGTCCGGGCCTCGAGCGGCGAGTCCCGCAAGATGCAAGCCGGGATAGCTACAGCACGATGAACAGCGAGATGTTCGAGAAGCTGCTGTATGATGTCCAAAGTCAGCCATTCTAGCCCCGAACAAGGACGACAAAGGGGCTGGCTGGCTGGCTGAAATTGGCTGTTTTCTTACTCTTTTTTTTTCTTTTCGTATACCTACTTCGGCGGGGGCGTCGGGGCGTCAAAATTATATATCCCATCGACAGACGTGTTTGTTTTCTCTGGGAGTTTGGTTTGTATATACTGTACTCCCTGTTCTAGTAATTAGGAACTGAAACGGAGCTGATGTCAGAGTTTTGGAATTGGGGTTGGGGTATGGGTTTGAAATCCATGCTTGATTGAAGAAGAGGAGGAAGAGGAAGAGGAAGAAGAAGAAGAAGAAGGAAGAGGAAGCCTTCACTTGCAATGTAACTAACACCAAACCAAGAGCCGAGAGAACGTTGATACGTTCATCGGAAGCAAGCACGCACGTAAGCCTACTATTGTTTAATGTAACAATGCCGTTTCTGTTTCTGTTCCGATCCTGCTTCTGGTTTTCTTTTTCTCATGCCGATTTGTGATGTCTATGTGTTTATTCAGTTGTGTTTATTTCTATTTGTTTGATTGTCTTTTTATTTGTCAGGTTGTCTTTCCATTTATTTGGTTGTCTTTTTATCCATCTATCCGTCTATCCATCTATCCATCTATCCATCTATCCATCTATCCATCTATCCATCTATCCATCTATCCATCTATCCATCTATCCATCTATCCATCTATCCATCTATCCATCTATCCATCTATCCATCTATCCATCTATTTATCTATTTATC